TGCGAAAGAAACTTGGAGGGCGAAGAAGAGTTTTTATTGAGAGCGAGAAAATACGAATTTGTTTTTTATGGACGCAAATTTGTAAATTTGACTGTTTTCTTTGTAAATGCAACTGTTAAATCGTTGTTACGTCGGTTCAATAGGGCAAAACACAACAACAAAAACTTGTCTGAATATGGTAAGATGCCACAAACAATTCCCTGTAGTTATCAAGATGGGCTTCTTGGTGTAAGTTAGTTTCATTTCTAGTTTGTTTTTTCAGTTGGCCCGGAGCTACGCAAATAAAACAAACAAAAGCTACCAAACATCAAATCTGAAAAACAGGAGAGAACTGGTGGCATGGATTTTTATTGTTGACCAACAGCAAAGTATCACCGACCAATAAACAAGACGCTTTTGAAATGGTAATTTTTTACTGAAAGCATGAACTAACATGAATTATTTTACATCTTTATACTGAAAATGATGTTTTGTTCCATCAACAGTGCTTGAACGTAGAGCAATGAGCAAACAAAACCTGCACAATTGTTGAAGTCTTCTTGAAGGAAATTGGTACGAAATTGGGAGATGTCAATGAAAATATGAAGGTAAGTGATATACGCTCACCCTACCCGCCCCTTTGCAGGAACTCCCCAAACTTCCGAATCCGCAAAAGTCTTCTCCAGTAGTAAGTCTTTTTTGTTAATCAACTTTACTGTATCATCTAAACTCATACATAATTGTAGACAATGTTTAAAATCACTTTATTTTTTAGTTCACATATTTCCCTATTTATATCTGCGAGATGCAACCTACTTGAGATCAGAAGTTATTCAATGAGCGACTTTCAGTGTCTTAGAAAACACTTGTATAACGCAATAGAAAGAATCATTATATGGTTTGTGATTACTGCTTCTTTTTATGTTTCTAATTAGCAACTTTATAGGTAGAACTTAATGATATTTGGTGTATGGCTTTAGATGTTCTTTAGTGTCCTTGGCACTTTGTATTAGCCAGTAACCAAGCATCATTGTAATAAAGGTTAGGCTTGGGAGATAATGCTTGTATAACATTACATACACAGGACATAGCAACACACACTGTAACTCCATTTGGCCCCAGGTTTTGCGCTCCCCGCTTCGTTGATATTGCAGCCAGTTAGTGCTCTTATATTCGAGGAAATGGATACCTCAGTATCCTTTCCCAAGTTCCAAAGTTGTTGACTTTTTATTAACAGTTTTGCAAGGTCAGGGGCCCTGAGTCTCCAGGAAATGTTATGTCTTAACTTCCTATGATCAATAAACACTTATGCTGTCACTGTTCAAAAGACACCTAACAATACATGCTATACCTAAAAAAAATTTAATTTTCCACCAAACTCACGTCTCGTTCCTGATACTTCAACCAGATTTATGCATAAGTAATAGTGCAGAATTGTAGCAAATGACTAGGGGCTATGAATGTAGAAACAACGACATGCATTCGCAATAAAAAACGCGAATGTAGGCCTTTTTCGGGTACTGATTGGTTGAGTGATCGAATGATCGAGTGATCAAGTTATTACTTGATTGAGCAGTCGAGCAACTGATTGAGTGATCGAGTGACCATTTTAAGGTTTTCAGATCATTAAAATATTTGGCAGACACCTAATTCTATTTCTCGATTGAATGATTTGCTAGTTTTCTATCTCATGCACATGATCTAGAAGACAGTGATGTGATTTTTATGACTATGAATGGTACTTCAAATGCTTGAATTGAAAAATAAAATTATACAAAGTTTCAGTAATAGGTAAAAAGCCATACGAGTACAAGATTGAAGGAATAAATAAAGAAGAAGAGATTCCTTGAGATAGGGAATAGGAAGGTTTGGTAAAATTTACCTTTTTCAATCTATATTTAAAAGCTCCTTTGTAAAAATCCGAATCGCCAACCCCTACTCTTTTAACGCTCCAAGACCTTTACTTGGAACAGCATATCTCAGCCATTTCTAGTAATGATATATTAGCTTCAGGTATCCACATCCGATCTAAGATTAAGCTGCGTAAATGTTGTATTGTGTTCCAATATCTGAAGTAAAGAAAAAAATATTCCATTCTAATAGAGATACTTGCCATGCCGTGTTTGTTTGTGTTGCAGAGGATTAAAGATTAAAAGGTCCTCTGTTTCATTTTAGTTGAATAGGCTTATTTTTGGATATGTATTTGCTGTCGTGCTCTCGGACAATGAGCTTGCAAAATTTGCCCTGTCTTGAAAATAAGGCTATATGCCTCGTCAAGATAATATAAAGAACCTTTAATTAAATCTGGTCCCATCGTGTGCACTGAGCTATCTTTGTGGAACTTTATAAAAATCCGCAGGAGACAATTAATATTAAAGTAGATAGGGGGTTTTCCGACGATATTTGAGGAAAACCCAAAAAACATCAGCCCTTTTCAAAGTTAGGAGACTGGATACAGGCTACATTAGACAGTATACTAACAATGTATCTTATATAAGGTTGGGAACGACCAGAAATTCAGAGGTGTCCATCTTATAGACGTATTTGCTGAGATAGGTTTTAGTGTACTTCATTGTAATTCAAGAGAGCATAGAATGTTGCGCTAGAACTATACTTAATTTAAAAGAGCAAGAGATTAACAGGCTGGTGCTGTATGACTAGGGCTGGACTTACTTAGTCACGATTTATGAATAAGCTCCAAGCAATTTGACAACCAAGCAACATTTTTGTCATCTGTAACTTTGCTACAATTTTGGTTGCAATCCTTCTGTACCATACCTTTTTGAAAAGTAAATTTGCTTTTTGCAAATATCTGCCTCTGCTCATATAATAGTGCGGCAATTGGCATCTTTTGCAATCTCTGATGCTGCTTAATGTTAGCTTAGTGCTGCATAGTGTCTTGATAGAGCACCAAAGTATGACGTCATCAAAAAGCTAAGTTTAGGAAGTTCAATTTTGACCACATAAGCTGAAATAGCATTAAATGTCTCTAAATGCGTAAAAGCAGTAAAATATGGCATAGTAAAGATATGGCTTAGTGATGTTTTCAAGTTTGCTAACGGATAAATGTTATTATGATTTGGTTCATAAAGTTATGAAACAAAGTTCAGAAAACATTATGATCTCACGGTCATTGACCGGAGGAAGATTTGAAAAACATTAAAGTACGGAGGAAGGTTTAGAGAGAAAAGTTTTTTACAGAGTCGACTGGGGGTGCGAGCCGCTAGGTTTTAGGGGAGACAAAATTAATTGCAGCAATAACCTCTTAAAATCAGCTTTGGATAGGCAATTTGGTGGTGGAAAGAATTGGTATTTCATTACACTACAAAACAAGCCAGAATGAAATGCAATTTAACGTCTGAAAATAGATACTTTTCATGTTCCATGGTTTTGAAACTTTTCAATTTATATTCTATCATGTTTATATCGACTTTATCGATCAACATTTATAAAGGAATATTTTTTCTGTGCGATGATGTTTTGAATGTTATTCTAGGAAAATTGTATCCTATGCTATAATTTCACTTGACCCAAACACATAACGTTGTCTCGATTTATAACTTCTGCCACTTTTTAGCCATGCCCTAGCTACTCCCTAGCCACGCCATATCCACGCTGATTGCCTGAAAAATTTGAGGAAGATTTTGACAGGGAACAATTTTAACTGGAAGAAGGTTGAGGAGTTTGATGGGCTCTGTTATGAACACAGACAATCTACAGCAAGATAAGATAAAGAACTCTTTATTTTATCACGATTACAGTAATTCGACTGGAAAAGTGCCCATGCTTATGTAGCCATATGTCAGCCAATTTTTTGTAATCAGCCGCCTTTTCACATTCGGCTTGTGGTCAAAATTGAAAATTCTACAAATAGAATTTGTGACGTCACCACTTTAGAACTCTATTCCTGTGATCACTATTATCAGAACTATTAGTAAATAAATTAATATAATTAAACTTTAACTAATACTTTGAGAGCTGAAATTTCATATATTTCAGTAGACATTAAAAGCTTGTCTCGGATCAGGTTCAAGTTGTTTTTTCAAAAAGATTTTGTATCCTTTCCAGCCTCTTTCCAGCCTATCAGATTCTCGGGTCAAAAACATTTTGGAAATCTGACGTTTTTTGACAAAAAGCTCACGTTATTTTCACAAACAGATCTAAGCTTGTTTTACGGCCTACTCTTTTACTTTGCATGTGTTCTGGAAATTGAATGGATTTCTAATTGATTTTGCTCGAAAAGAGCCATTTTCTTTTTCATGTTGTGGACCTTTGATTTAAAGGCACCGTGTGGCGCTATTTTGGTTTACCAAAGCGGCAGCATTCAAAATGCTGATTATCAAAATATTACACAAAATGAAAGAAGCTTCTGCATCTTGATGAATCGAATTCTACCTCACAGATAAAATTCTATTATTTCGCAGTAATTCACATTTCAATATCTTGGTCAATACTTGCATTAGTCAATTACATTTAATGAGATTCTTGCTGGTTTGGCTCCTGTTTGGTGCCAAGAGAAGCTAGATGGATTTTTGATTTATAATTTGAAATTGCTCGTTGGAATTGGGATTTCCACATATAATATCTTATTAATTCCAATGAATTAGGTTAGAAAAGTTTGAATAAAAATAACTGAATATTTTTATATTGTAGTTCAACAATTTTCAATGATTGGGTTTAAAAAATTGCATCCTATTACAGACAAAAGTGTTCTTATAATTGTCCCGTTGTTGGTGGCATTTGCCAGTAAAACTTATTCAAGCTTTTTATATGTGATACTAGTAGCGATATGATTCTGATAATGTTGCTATGGAAATATAATGAAAATGTTAATCACATGGTGATGATATGACTATGATAATGACAGAAATAATGACAATAATAATGCTATTCGTGCATGAATAAGTGTTGATTGTCGAGGGGCAAATCACTGTTTAAAACAGGGACGGGGCCTAGAAATTCGAAGTTTGGGGGGGGGGGGCTCGAGTTGACAGCATTATTAGACTAAAAAACTTACTTTTGAGAATGGCACTAAAGTGCCTCACGATAATTCATGCCTGTGATTTTATGGGGCATTCGTTATGCGGTTCATTGGAAGGGGCGACGAGAGATTGTCGGAACCATATATCTGAGAGAAAAGGCTTCCATGCGAGCAAACCGAGCAGAAAATCCTTTGCAACCATGTCCTTTAGATTAGCTTAAAATACATTTCAGAACATTTGTTTTAGTCATTTTTTGAACCGTTTAAAACATTTTATCAGTTTTAAGGTATGCTTTTACTACGATTGAATAATTCTAGTCTTAAAATGGAATTCAATATTTTATGAGGCACTATAGACCTCGACTGTTCCTTCAGAAATTAGGCAATAAAAGGATTTATCGCACATTTATTTTCTTCTATCTTTTTTCATTAATTTTTTTGTTTTTATAAAATACGTTTGTGCAAAAAAGTAGTGAGGAGGATGGCTGAAGCCCCTCAGCCCCCATGTAAAATCACGTACGCTCTCGAAAATGATCACACTTCAATCACAATTTAATCACATCAATCACAATAATCACATTAACTTGAAAAAATCACCAGTCATATAAATCACAAATATTTGAATCCTGTAGGATAGCCACAATTTGAAATCTGAAGCCCCTCAGCCCCCATGTAAAATCACGTACACTCGCGAAAGTGATCACACTTCAATCACAATTTAATCACATCAATCACAATAATCACATTAATTTGAAAAAATCACCAGTCATATAAATCACAAATATTTGAATCCCATAGGATAGCCACAATCTGAAATCTGAAGCCCCTCAGCCCCCATGTAAAATCACGTACACTCGCGAAAATGATCACACTTCAATCACAAATTAATCACATTGATCAAAAAATTAAAATGACTTGAAAAGTCACCAGTCATGTAAATCACAAATATTTGAATCCCATAGGATAGCCACAATTTGAAATCTGAAGCCCCTCAGCCCCCATGTAAAATCACGTACACTCGCGAAAATGATCACACTTCAATCACAAATTAATCACATTGATCAAAAAATTACAATGACTTGAAAAATCACCAGTCATATAAATCACAAATATTTGAATCCCATAGGATAGCCACAATCTGAAATCTGAAGCCCCTCAGCCCCCATGTAAAATCACGTACACTCGCGGAAATGATCACACTTCAATCACAAATTAATCACATTGATCAAAAAATTAAAATGACTTGAAAAGTCACCAGTCATGTAAATCACAAATATTTGAATCCCATAGGATAGCCACAATTTGAAATCTGAAGCCCCTCAGCCCCCATGTAAAATCACGTACACTCGCGAAAATGATCACACTTCAATCACAAATTAATCACATTGATCAAAAAATTACAATGACTTGAAAAATCACCAGTCATATAAATCACAAATATTTGAATCCCATAGGATAGCCACAATCTGAAATCTGAAGCCCCTCAGCCCCCATGTAAAATCACGTACACTCGCGGAAATGATCACACTTCAATCACAAATTAATCACATTGATCAAAAAATTAAAATGACTTGAAAAGTCACCAGTCATGTAAATCACAAATATTTGAATCTTTGACCATTTTAATCACCTATGCTATGGGAAAATGTTGGTTTACTACAGCGAAAACAGCGTAGGGATTAGACAGTTAATTTTTCGCATGACTTGTATGATATTACCCTAAACCATTAATTTTGTTTTGGGGCAAAGGTGGCATAAGTAGTAATATTTTAGAAAAAAGGAAAATATGAAGCCTCGACGCAAAATTATAGGTTTCAAAGTTATTTTGGCAGGCATAAAAGGATAGCCAGTTCCTTCCTTCTGTCTTTGGCATTACTTGCTATTTTCTTCTGGATAGGCAGCTATTGGTATTGATACCGCTAATGATTCGAAACTGATATATCATGTAGCTTCATCATTATAGATGCCAATTAACCATCTTTATGTACCTGCACAGGGAAAATTGCCCATGAAAAGGGCCAATGGCTATTTCGCAGGTAATCATGAAAAGTATAAAATGTTTGTTTTTTCAGATAAAGGGCTATCTTCTTATTTTTTTTCAATTCTTATTGGTATAGTATTGCATATCACCAAAATTCATAAAAATTGAACCTAGTTTTATTACGTCATCAATTGGCAACTCTACTCCAACTCAGTTAAAAAGTCGCTTTTCAACGGACCTGCATACCTGATCGTTTTCACTGAAAAATGGCTTGCAATCAAATGATCTTTATAAGTTTTGTACAGGATATAATAGCACATACCAACTGGCTGTTAGCTATTGACCACAACTGTTTTTGCATTGCTCTATTCATTGCATAGCCAATCTAAAGTTATGGAAATGGAAATAATTTTCACAATGCCCCAACAATTAGCCGATCACTATGTGGCCTCTCATTGATTATTCAGCGCAACAGGTCGCATGAGCGGTGTGATAAATAATCAACTGAAAAATTGATGATGCTTTTAGCGTTTGATTCATATATGACTGTCTTTTGAGTACAAGTACATTCTTGCTATTCACAATGGCACATTAGGCCTAATTGCTTCAAAGCAAGGCATTTTCAAGCTCACTGTTTAACTGCTCAATTTGAGGCTGTAAACGCACATGACAAGAAGATTTCGGATTTTTAAGGTCACACAAGGTGAGTATTATGATGAAAAGTTTGCATCTAGTTCAAGATTTGTTAGTATTTGTCCTTATTGATTGTTTGCAAACGTAACATGATTGTACGAGCTTTATTTACTATCACTTCATATGCTGCATTGGTAAAGTGTTCTTCAAAGGTTATATTCTTCCTAATCTTTCTCAAAAACATTAGTATAACAACTAGGATTGATTCTCGTGTCATAAGAAAGCACTGGCAAAAAAGCATAACTTCACTTGCTGCATTGATAAAGTGTTCTTCAAAGGTTATATTCTTCCTAATCTTTCTCAAAAACATTTGTATAACAACTAGGATTGATTCTCTTGTCATAAGAAATCACTGACAAAAAAGCATAACTCTGACGAAAGAGATCACCCAGCATCGTCATGGAAATTAGACAATCATCAGTCAAAGACTCAATAAAATGTTGCATTCACAGACACAGTAATGTCTTTGAAAAAGTCTCACATCATTTATTAACGCCATGATCATTCAAATGCTTACATGCACATCACATCTGTTGCGAGAATTTATACGAATTTAACTCTTCTTTTGGATCTTGTGGGTTACGGCTGATGGTGGATTTGAGATTCGGTTGATTCTCGACGAAGCTGTTTGCCCTGGTGACGTAGTTGACCTGTTTTGATGGCTGGAAATTAGACAATCATCTCTTGGAAATTTAGTAAAATTTTGCATTAACAGACAGTCATATCTTTGGTAAAATTATGCTTACTATTTGGTTTCAATTGTCAACAAAATCAATATTTAGTACTGCGAATTCAGGATTCAACGAACAGTGAGTTGAGCAGCACACTATTCTGTGATTGCAAACAAATGTTGTAAAGGTGTATATTATACTATTTTCAAGTCTTTTTGCCTGAAACTTTCCCTTTTTTCAGCTCAGTGAAAATTCCTAAAAAACCTTTTGACTAGGATGAAAAATGTTTAAAAGATATTTGACAATTATTCTCGAAAGTTCTTTCCCATAGCCCTTTCATGCTATTAAAAACATCAATCATTCTTGCTTTATAGAAACGTAATTTTCAGGATTTTGTTCTTGGTTAAATGTAAGTCAAGGGATTAATTCCCAAGACAGTTTTGTATTCATTTGATAGTGCTTATACCTGTTAAGAGAGGTGCAATTGACGTCATATTCCTGCTCAGTCAGTGGACACAAAATTATTATAATAAAATGATTAAACAGTTAAAAATCATACTAAGTAGTAAAAGCCCCTGAGAAAATTGGTGTATTTTATAACGGAAAAGTTAAAGTGCTGAAACGTTTTTAAGATCTTGATATTTTTGCGGGAACCTGCAAGTTGAAATAGCAGGGGCAGTCTTTGTTGATGAAGGTGAAAAAGAACTGCGAAAATTGCCAGTAGCATTCATGACGAATCTTTTTCTTTGCTGGCACTTATCAAGTTTAGAATCGATGAAGCTGGTGTCGACTTCGTAAGTGGTGAAAGAACTTCTACTAGTACTTGTGCTACAATGTGCTCTCAGTTCAGCATTGGTATACATAAAAGTATCCATATTCTTTAAGCACTTTATTGGGGTGGTGCAAAAATTAATCCGGGGCCCCTTTTGGACAACAAGAATGGACCCCTTTGATTAACCACAGATTTGAATCTGTGTACATTAGGGGCCTCCATTGCAAGATAATTTTCTCGGTGCCTCTTGGTTTTAGCCATTCTACCCCATTGTTGTTGCGCCTCTGTGGGGGAGTTTAAACCCTTCTTCGCTATTTCACTACTCTAAATCATCAGAAATTCCTCGTAATTATTGTAAATGTCTTTAAAACTCATTTCATGGCATATTGCTATGGAAATTATTTACATGCTTCCAATTCATTCGGCAACCAACTTCTTTGAATTTAAACTATTCAGTTCTGCATTGGAACGAATAATCCACATTTACTGCCTTTCTGGTCTTAATCCTTTCAAGGATTATACTTCATCTTGTCAAAGGATTACAGCCAGATTTCAAGTGTGTAATGTCTCACACTATAATTCTTCTTAAAGGATCTTAGGAGAAACACAATAAACCTATAGGTTACGATGGTTTTCGGCTGCAGTATTCTATAGAAACTGATTCCAAGAAGAATCAATTCCGCTATAAGATATTCCTTAAACATATTTACGGGGAAAACAAGCAAGACTCCTTGGTAATACACAGTTGAACCTCCACTTACGGACACTTCGTTATGGTTGCTACCTGCAAGAAACAAACAGGCATTTTTCCAAATCTTATTGCCTATCCTCTGAGAAAGTGCACTGTTTGTCAAGGCAAGAGTTTCTCGGGAATTACTTGATTTCGGCTCTTTCGTTCGAAAACTTTTGCTCACACCTTGTGTTTATCATAACTTTTTATCTTCATTGAAACGCGCTACTCTAGCGTTGGAACCTTATTCAAAATTCAATTAATACATACAAAAGTTACTTCTCTAATGTTTTGACTGTTCCAAAACCACTAGTGTCTAACGTCACGACATTCTGTTATGAGATCGATGCTGGGTATCTTTCGTTAATGATCGTTGTTTTTTCTGTTAGAAAATTCAGGTTGTCAAAGTAAAAGTATTATGTGTTTATGACGTCACACTTGAGTCTTCTATTGCTTTTTCGTTTATAGGTTGCTACGATACGTACGCATAAACAAATGTGACTAAATGGTGACGTCATAAGCCTTTTAAGATTTTCTCAACTTACATCTTATGATTTGAAAGAATAACAAACACTTTTGTGGTTGAGCTTTTTATTATACATGATGTTAGTGCTGCTCCTTTAACGTGTAACCACTATACCACTATACTGTCTCGAGAAAACCATACTTTTGTCTTTTTCCACTGATATTAAAAAAAAATTTCCCTATTTGTTTATATATACAGTAATGGAAATGCTAGTATATCGTTCTGCATTTTACATAAATTTTTACGATTCTGATTCAAAATAGGCGACAACTTCAAGCTTCTGCCACATGACAACACGTACGATATAGCGGGAACAGATCTCATTAAGCTGGCTTTGTCTTCTAAGAATTGGAGAAAGAGATGCAAGAAATTTTTCTAGAAACGCACGTAATCCGGGATAACAAATGTTCTTTATTATCATTGTTCAGTCACAGAACAGAGATAGTTGCTTCACTGGTTGTCTATACGATTACAAAGACCTTCGTAAAGTTAGAACGTGGTTGGTTCTAGAATTCACAAGAGAACTTCGGTTTGTGATGATCTAATAAAAAAGTTTTCATGCTAATAGTATTTCATCAAGAAGATAAAGGTACGATTTTAGGTATTTCAACTTTGTCTCCTTTTTTAATCCTTCTACATTTCGATAAAGTTTGATAAAGTGCTTGTCTGTTCAGGAGAAATCTGCTTTGATACGGCAATCCACATTCTCAATGCATTCTTGCATGTGCCTATGCGGCACGCGATTTCATTTCGTAATAATCAATGAATAATTAAGAAATTATGATGTCAAAATTGCATCGAGTTCTGTATATTCAGCTAGTTCTAAAGTATTAATCTTTTTACATAATACACCACACTCAGTTGTGAAATAATCAATAAAAGATTTAAAAACAAATCGCTAAAGCACCGAGAAGTCTGTGTTCAAAAAATTCCCAAAACTAAGAAACTGCAGCGATTAGACGACTTTTCCCAGAAAAGCTCTCCTAGTTAACTTTCAAAGTGTCGCTTTTTTAAGTAACTCTTTTATTTTTCAGAGAAATAAACTCTTTCTTCAAAAATTTGTTGACAAGTACGCGAGAGCTAATTTTGTGAACACTCACTATTTTTTATATTTTTTGAGAAGGTCGTAGGCATGGGAGACAGGGGCAGGGAGGGGACTGCAGCCGCATAATCAGGCAACATTTATCGCATCCAATTGAACTTCCACTTTTACACAATACAATTTTACTCTCTTTCTTAGTTCATGCTCTCCAGCATGTCACATCTACTTAAGCTAGACTTTATTACTTTTATTAATGAGGCTGCCATTAATAGAAACTTCACATTTCAACAATTATATAATAAGCAAGTATTATGGTAATTTCAATCATTCATAGAGACTTTAGTATAACTGTTCTCTTCTTTATACAGAGAATTTTCCTTCTTTCATCGCTCCGTGCCTTTTATCATAGCCTTACCGTTTCTATAAACAGCTTCATATTGTTATTCAATATTTAATCACTTTGACTAGATCATTGCTTTTTGGCCCTATTTTGCTATGTTTACCAACGTTAAATTAAGAAAAATTGCCATTGAATTAAGTTCACTGTACACTGCTCTCGCTGTTCTTATAGGGAAAAACTAATAAAAACTCTTTTTAAGCAGAGCATTCAATCAAATTCTATGCAATATGCTGCGAAAGCCTGTTGACCCAGTATTCAGTAAGACTAGGATAACACATCTCTGGCAAGAGAAAAACATGTTTCTTTGGATTAAATTGCTGCAATTTCGTTGTTACTTTATAACCATTTGTCCTGCGTTTGAAAATATTTATATTTTCTCACTAATGAGTTTAATTGACTTTTATACCTGACATTCGTAAAAAGCCATAATTAAAAAAGCCACAGTCGTTGCCAAAGGCCTAGACAGAGCACTGACGTGATTTTTCATCGTCAAATTTACCAAGTACTTTCACCCTTCAAACCATGTTGGTGTACTAAAATGACGTAGGATATTAATAAACAGTGACGTAGGACCAGGGGGTCATGAGGGGTGCCATGCCCTTCTCCCGAGTTTGGGGCAGGGGGAGGGTGGTGGACGAATTTGCAAACTTCTATGGTAATTTGCCATCATTATATTTGATATCATATTTTAGCAAAGGTGAGGGGGGCCTCAGCCCCCAGCTCCCTGGCTCTCGCATGTCTTAGCTGGTAGAGTTGAGGGTAGAAAATATTTGAGGTATGGTGTGGCAAGTCCGGAAATTTTCAAGTTGTTGAAAATTGCACTTTGTACAATGTATGTTTGATGCTAAAATCGTTAGCAGTGACTACTTGTGGTGTTTACTTTTGAGTTGAGGTTCAAATAAAATTTAGTCATGAAAGAAATATTGAATCTCGATTCTCAACTTAAGTGGGGATCAGACAAGGGTCATGTCATAGCCACTTTGGCATAGCCTTTAGGGGAAGTGACAAGGGTCATAGCTACTTTGGCTTTAGGGGGAATCAGATGGGGATGATGAAGCTCTTATGAGAAGGAGGACAATAGTCTTTTGTTTTGTACCATAGGCAACGATGATTGGTGTTCCAAGGATGGCGCGAAAATTTAAATGTAGGTATGTTCATGAAAAGGGGTGCACATTGTTTGCAAGGTTTTCGGGATAATTAGAATCATTAAAATTATGCCTTATAAACAGAGGATCGTTACTTCTAAAAGCACCTTTATAATTTTTGTATTTAATTTCGATGAAATATGCTGGATATTGTCTTTACCGAATCTCTGCAATGCATAAAAAGCTTCCAGGGGTGACCGACCCCCACCTCTAAAAACTTTCTAAGGGGGCTGGAGCTCTCAAGCCCCCATGCAATCGATGAATTTGTCATTTATCAGTGGAAGGCTAGTAGGGCTGCTCCCTTGCCTGCTTAAAACGCTACATCTACCCTGATGCCCCAAAATTGTTCCTTACATCAATAACTGCTAAGTAAGGCTTATTTTTCTCCAAGTTTACTGGCAGGCTGTTGTCCTGTTTTAGGATGCATAAAAATCATCACATCTCTCTGCTGCAGGTACAGCGGCTGCTTCCTAGAAGTGAAATAGCATCTGCATACGCAAATAGCATCAATAACATACGCAAATTGGAATTCGATTGTGTGCAATTGTATTACTGCGAAGATCAACTTTCTTTTCGCAGTTTCAAGGACTCATGACCTAACCCATGGTGCTAATTATACCAAATCGGGCTCTAAGCGCTGTCTCTAACAGTGAGGCAGGTGGACATGATACTTCAGGTAAACATCCTCTTTTTGAAACATCTCCTTTCTGAAACGGTCTTTTTTAGATAGTCGCTACCGTAATTTGTTACTCATAAGTAAGGTCAAACGAAATCCTCGTGTACAACAGAAAGAGATACAAATTCGATGTTCCCATAAACTCATTCAGCGTGTGGCTATGCAATGACAGAACCGTAAGCTTTGATGTTAGTTATCTTTAATTTTTATTCCATTTGCATCGCAAGTTAAACCATAACCCTTTCTCTGTTATCTAGGAAAAGGCAATGGAACTGCAATTATTTTGTCTTATCTCCCAATCCCAGTTTCATTTGTAACGGATTTCAGCTGGTGGAGCCAAATCTTAGCTCTTATAAAAATAGGACAATAACACTCCGAGAATGGCCTACTCCACCTCTATAGAATAATACTATAGTAATATATAATAAAGACTATACCATTTCATAACACTATTACTGAAATAAGATATGAATATAGGAAATGGATATGCCAATATCATCACAGGGCAAATAGTTCTGCTGGCACTTCAGCTTGTAGCTTGAATAGGTTCCGTAATATGGACAATTTAGTTTTTTAAGTCTTGTTTTTATGCGTAAATGAATGAACTCTTAATTTTTTTTAGCTATTTATCAATTTTCTTCTTGAGTTAAGTTTTAAGGCAGTAGTTTTATAAAAAAAATCAGTTGTTGTTGAGATGGCAAAAGCATAACAAGAACTTCTTTGTTACTCAACTCTTCAAGGAAAACCTCTCACAAAACTGGTGGAGAACCCGGTTCTCCAAAGGGAGGGGGGGGCTAAACCCTGCCTTTATAGAAAGAGGTCAATAGTTTATTAAAGCTCACTAGATATGGAGGGGAAACTGACCCCCTCTATAAGAAAGACACTTTTCATTTCTATGCAGGCAAAAGGCGTGCGAAAGGCGCAACTTGCAATAGACCATCTTGGAGTTCGCGACGCCAGGATGGAATTCAAATTCCTATCACTCAGGTGGGGCAAACCAGCGAAAACTCATGGTGGATAGAAACCGCTCTTTTACTTTTTTGGCCGTGAAACTTCTTTAGAATAGAGAAATATTTTGGAATAAAAACCTGAATTTCGTTGATTAACAATGGGCCATATTTGAGCTACAGAAGAACTGGCAAATTTCGATTATAGCCCCACTTGTATCATGGTGTCACAATCTTCAAAATCGTCTTAATCATGGTTTTCTAAGAAATATCTTCGATTCATCTTTTACAATATTTGATCGTATTTTTTTAGGTTACGCAGTTGAGGCTGCAGCTGTAACTGTTTGGCAGTACACGCTGGAAATCAGAAATATCACAGATTTACCTTAATACAAACAGCTTAATTTGGAATCATAATCTTTACGGTGTTCTTAATCTTTGATCGATCTCAATTATGAAAAATATAGCGTACAGTTATTAAACCTCGGATAATCTGGTTAGAAAATGTCAAGAACATCAATAATATTGTTACTCCGTAAATACACATCAGCTCTGGTAAAGGAAAAACACTGATTTGTTCGCCATGTGATTGTTTTCCCAGATATTGTTTTGCTGTCAAAGTATGACTTAAATAGAGTTTCGCGCATCTGGTCGTTGTTTCTAAAGGTGTCTTATCATGATTGCATTGCAAGAAAAACCCATACATCGAACTGCAAAGAGACTCCAATAATGTTGCTGTTAACACTTGTTCTGTTTTTGGGCATTTTGATACAAGAATGTGGAACGAGCACTTCGAATACGACTAAAGAACTGAAACTTGGAGTGTTAATACCAATGACTGGCGATAAATGGAATGCTGGCCCGCGTTTTGCATCGGGGATTGTCATTGCCATTGAAAAGATCAATGCAGATCCAAATATCTTACCCGGTTACAATGTTACTTTTGAATGGCAGGATAGCAAATGCGAGGAGAGTGTTTCGCTGACTGCAGCCGTCGATATGTATGCAAGAATAAACCCCCACGTGCATGCATTGATTGGTCCGGCTTGTTCTCATAGCTGCAAGTCGGTCGGATACTTAGCAAATCACTGGAATATGCCGCTAATTTCGTACGCCTGTGGATCTGTAGAGCTGTCTAATAAGAAAGATTTCCCCTTATTTGCCCGGACCGTCGGTGTTTATGCCAATTCTGGCAAAATTATCGTCAATCTTATGAAATTCTACAAGTGGGACCGCATTGCACTCCTGACATCCACTGATTTCCTCTGGACTTCAATAATGACCGGTGTTCAAGCTGACGTGACAAAAGCCAACCTAAAAATTGCATACTACCAGAATTTCAATGTTGGCAGTGTCACAGATACTTACCTCCAAGAAATCCTTGAAACTGCTAGTACCCTGTCCCATAGTAAGTAGAACATATACTTTACACGCCCTTTCTACTCAAACTTTTCAATACCCTGGGTTCCAGAGTCTCCATCATTTAATCTCATCAATATGGTTCAAGACTAGCCACAGGAATACTTTTTTGAGCGAGAATCCACTCATTCTTTGCCACCACAGCCGTCTACAATACTTTATCCCCATATTCACGAGACTCTGAAATCCAGAGTAGTATTTCAAAAATTTTAAAGAGTTAATGTTGTTTGGCTATAACCTCCGGGTCTAATTTTGCTTTCTATGAGTTTTCTCTGGATTTTCCATGGGCAAATTCAGGTTAAACCTTGTAACGCCACATTAAAGTTTAAATTCAGCATTGTCTGGCTCTTTTTAATCTCATCCCTCCCAAAGTTCTGATATCAGCGCTTTCCCGCCAATACCTTTGGTATGCAAACAAAGGAGGTCGGAGAGGGAAAATTGTACTAATTTCCTTGATGTTTCAATCTAAATTGCTGGAAAGAAGTGAATAATACCTGATTATTTTACAAGTTTTCTTCCATGTCTGAATTGACCAATTCTAATGCTATTAATCAGTTTTTTGCTTAATTACGTTTGATATTGTGGAATGGTTTTCCTCCCTACAGTCTTCATCTTCGGTGGGTACAGTGTAACAATCCGCAGGCTGATGCTTGCAGCTCACACGTTAGGCCTTACCACATCTGGGTATGCATTTTTTTCCTATGATCTTCTACTCGATTCCTGCAACTCAACTACAGCTTCTGACGAAGAAAACAGAATTGCATGCCAAGCATACGAAGGACTGCTTGATATCAGTCTGTATGTGCCAGAGACAGCGGAGTACAAAAACTTTACAGCAGAAGTCAGAAGGCGAATGGCTGAGCCTCCATTTAATAGACCCATGTTACCCGGAGAAGAAGTAAGTTTTCATAGATGGTTCCCAGATTTTATTTCCATGTCCAAGGTATTCATGCATCGCTTGTTTAATGCACAAATGATCAATCAGAATTTAGAACCATCATAATCTACTCTCCATGAGCGAGTTGCTGTGAATTTTGTTTTGGTTTCAATGTCTAAGTCAGTTTCGATGATATAAAGATTATGCATTTTTTGTCGTGTTCACCCACAATAACTAATGACGGATGCTGAAAAGGCGGAGGAATACCCTCTAAAGGCGAGGCTTTCAAGTTAGAATTAGCCTAACACGGAGGGGACACATTGCCTCTTAAAACTCACTCTAAAAAGTCAAGGCTTTCGAATGACTACAATAAAGGTCTGTTTTTTTCTTTTATTCACATACTTGCAAATTGCATGTGCCTTTACAGATCCTAAGGCATTAGATTGATAATGTATAGAAATACACATTCCTTCGAAGGCTCCTTTCGAACTGCATCAGCCTTACGCTGGCGCTAGTACTCCATGTATGAGCCTCTCGCTGTTACAAACAAATAATTATCAATTTCTCTTCTGAATTCTACATATAACGCTGTTTGAAATTAGTTATTACTGCAGTTTGCATTTATTTTCTTTATATTCTGTAGCATTGATTAGATAAATAAATTTCAAGAATTAGATGCGAAGGAAAATCTTCTCCTAACATTCAGTTTCCAACATTCAGGGGGGGTGGTCAAAGTTAAGTCAGCGATGTAGGTAGGGAGGGGGACAAATACAGAGATTAGTGTGCATAGTTATTTGCCATTGGCTCAATCTTAAAATAGAGTCACATAATTTTGCGATAGAAATTTCCTCCTAACTCACATCCTGCGATGAAAGGAGAGATTATTGTCATACGACAGGGCGATCTTGAAACCATACGAATCCTTCGTGGAAATTGTGTATACCATTACGTTTAAATTGCTCTCAATAGAATTACTTCATAGCTGACGCGTACCGTTTCTCTTATAGGTTGAGCTGTACGCTTCGTTAATACACGATGCAGTTTATTTGTATGCGTATGGCTTGAATTCAAGTTTAGCGCAAGGGATTGACTCTAGGAATGGCACTGCAATCATGCAAAATATATTTGGGAGACAATTTTACGGTGAATAAAACTTACATATTGTTCCATTTTCACTAGAAATTTCAAAATGCTAGCAGAATTCTTAGTCAGAAGAACTGTATTATTGCAGTAGTTGGATATACAATGTTGCTGCTTGCCTTGCTTACTTGAAATTTTGCTAAGATAACATCGCCACACAGACTGTCGACTTGTATACAGGACCGTCGCTACCTACTGGGCACTAGCACGTATAGCTGATTTAACAAATGTCTGAACATAACATGAATATATTACAACTGGAATTTCGATCTCATTTCATGGCATACCCATCATAATAGTGTATATAGGGAGTCCAGAACTAAAGGAACACACGTTAGGGTATACTGCTAAAAATTTGCTGAAACTTGATTTAAATAGGGCTTCCACGCACAATCTTAATGACGCTACTCTCTATTTAAATCAAGCTGTCAGTTCTCATCATCTTCGCTGATCTTGCAGGTGCTTCTGGGTTGGTTATTATCGACTCCGTGGGCGATAGAGCTGCAGCTCTGCAACTTAAAAACATCCAGAAAGGAAAATATCGCAGAGTATTTAACTATTTCAACTCTGAACAGAAACTACAGGTCTTAAACGAGACTCAGATAATATGGCCAGGAAATACTCTAAGTGCGCCTCTTGGAAGACCTGAGTGTGGTTTTGGTGGAGAACTCTGTAAGAAAACAAATTGTAAGTGACAGATACAATATCATATTATATAAGATTGCCCCCAGTACTCTCCATTTTTTTTGCTGCTGGTTTACAATGCTATGTAAGTTTCTTTAGAGTTGCATTTTCTAATTACTCTAAATCCGTTGAGAAAACTTTGGGGGGGGGGGGAGAGGGGCTGTTGTCTAGATCGATTTCGATTTTCGTTCTTGCGAAAAAGCCCCCCCCCCCCCTTCCGTAAAACACTGCTCGAGGAAGCTTATTTTCGTAAAAGTTTCGAAGTAGATCAAAAATACTCAAACACGTTTCACAGCGTGCCATATATTTATACATGTGTAATCCACTGATTTGTCATTTCAGATAGCTGGCTGTACATTGTCATAGGCGTGGCATCGCTGCTCATATTTGTATTTGCTCTTACTCTATTCTTTGTGCAAAAGAGGTACGCCCGTTCCATACTTAAACGATATGACTCTGATAAGATTGTCTTATAAATATAATAAAGGCTATTATCAAAAGTTTTTGTTGCTGCCAGAATTTGATTCCCAAAGCTTGAATTAGATTGATCTTCCTAAGAACTTTAGAAGGCAGAAAAGTAGGTAAGTGTATGGCCCAGCTGTTATGAGGACAAGGATCTCAAAATTATGCAGGTTTAAAAATGACGTCAGTTGCATGTACAACACTTCGCTAGCAGCTAAAACTTACTTAAAATATCATTTGTTTTTGCACGAGTTTGCCAAGAATGTTTACCAAGAATTTGAGTGGTTGCAACTTGAACCCATCCTAATTTGTTTAACTTTTTAGAATTAAAGTTATAGTGCAAAACGTTTCTGACGACGAACATTTTGATCTTTCACTGCACACTGGGCAAACGCCTTGTATAACCTAGTTTCTACCCATCCCTTCATTCAAATTTGGAGCATATGTATCTTAATAGCACAGGCATTGGCATTTAAACTTGGGGAAAAGGAATGCGAAATCACCAAACGCATGTACAGGACAGTAGATAGATTGCAGGAAAACCTTAATGTAATGTCTATTTTATCTTGAATTTCTTATCTTTCCTTATCTTTCCTTATCTTGAACTTCTCAATAAGATGGTTTGTAGAAATGATCTGTATTTAATTCAGGGCGATTTTGTCGTTTTAGAAGAAAGAACTTTGAGCGTATTTTAATGAGCCAGCGATGGAAAGTTCAATATTCAGACATTCAGTTCAAAAATATCGGTGGAATAAGCAGACGATCGTTTGTAAGCACCTTTGATTGTTAATGGCTTTGAAAAAAGCAAACATTTAGTAAACTAGAGCTTTTCGTCTGACACTCTTCAGAGTTTAAAACGTCAGAACATAGATCGAAAACTCTACGCTAAGAAATATATATACCCAGTTGTGGATCGAAATAGGCCAATCAGAAACACGAGCACATGACTTTTGATTGTTCTGAATCTTTTAATAGCTTTGAAGATATAATAGATTTTTTCTATACACTAATACAGGAATTTAAGTAAAAGGTCGTAACATATTTGATGGATTGGCTTCAAAATTGTGAAAGCTTGAGGATATCGTTAGAGTTTCCTTTGCTTCGCCCCTGGACCCCAGTGAGTCCTCCTTACTAACCCCAGTTATTCAAAATATGACCTTATGGAATTCAAAATTTCGAATTCTGCTAAATTGGTTTCTTTTCTCATTAGTTTCCACGCTATCCAAGTGTCCTACCAAAAAACCTATGATGCCTCTCATCTTCAGGAGGGAGCTGTGAGAGGAGATTACCTATTTTCAAGACCAGTTTTCTCTAGTTCTCATGTACAGCCATTACTTCAGGCGCTGCTCCAAGCTTCTGGCTTTTGCAGTGGCTATCTTGTGGTGGTTTGCTCGATGCCTTTAAGTCCTTTTCATTTTGCAGTACGCATCAACAATGATGGGAAGTCAATACTCATTTACTAGTGGCGTCAACGAAGATGGTCATGGACAGCAGATTTTTACATCGATTGGAGTTTTTGGCGTTAGTTTTTGTTTTACTGGAATTCCTTACTGACGTCAACAGTTATAGAATCAACCAGATAATAGAGAATTCATTCTTTGTCGCCTGTCTAATTTGATGCCAGAAATACAAAAGGCTGTTGTAACATTGATCAGAAGATGTTGATTAGTAATTTCCATTTTGCAGAAGACAGCCTAGCTAATGCCCAGCACACATGGCTCGAAAAGAACTTTATGCATTGTTTGGTGTATGATGTACTATGAATTTTATATAATATGTAAATATATTATATACAATTCATATTTGAAGTTGGTATAGAAAAATATATTTATACACATCATAAAGATGTAGTATTATTTTGAGATTCCAGATTTTTGTTATGTACGTGAGCATTCTTAGATATTAACCACCCTTCCTGTATATTCTGCTATTTTTTGAGAAATGAAATTACAATTTTAGAATAGAGCTTATTCTTTTCCAGTCTAGGGTTGTTGCACTCAAGAAAATCAACAAAAGCAGCATCGATCTGAACCGAGACGTCCTGCTTGAGCTTAAATACGTGAGTAATCTGTAGAGAGTAACAGTTGCTATACAGTTAAAAATGGGCGTGGCATTTACCCAACTAAAATTGCACAGCCTGTCTGTGCAATTTTATGTTATCGAGGCATAAGGAACCGTTAGGTACAAAATACGTATAGGGGACATCAACAGTAAATATAGGAGGCAAAAAGTGATGAGGGCATTATATTTTTAGTTGGGTAAATGCCACGCCCCTTTTTAACTGTATAGCAACTGCTACTCTCTATTGAGACTCACTCCCTACTTGTTTTTATCACTGTGATGCGAGAAAGGCTTTGAAAGCAAGATATATCGTGCCTAACACAAAATACGTCTTTTGCTGCGTATATATGAAGATCTTTAAAATCTTGTCATGTTGGCTTAAAGTTTAATAAAAAGGTATGCGACTACCAGTATAAGTGATACTTGGTGTAATCACTATAGGATCTTTCTCTCTCTTTCTACTGATATTTTTATAATAATACAATTGAAATGCGTAATGTATTCATAAACCAAATAGCTGCAGTAAAATTTCTATTTCATCTCTACTTTATAGATGCTTTCAAGCTCTTAAACAATGTTTGCGATCTACTGACTGTTTGTTCATTGATAGGCCTACGAATGCCAGCATCAAAATGTGAATCCATTAATTGGTGCATGCGTCGAACCCAACAACATATTTCTTCTAACACAGTATTGCAATAAAGGCAGCTTATTGGTAAGTATTTCAAATTGCCTACCATCCAAAACTAGTATTTGCAGAACCCCTTCTCCAACACCTATGGCTGTTGTTACATTTTAAGACATTCTACGACATATGATATTGCTGTCGATACATTCCACGGACGTATATCCAAAAAAAATTATCTTTTGCATTAATTAACCAGGAACAGAAACATTTTCCCACAAAATACTTTATAGATAAGTGGAGACAGTATTTACCTAGTTCTCAAGTCTTCAAAGGCAAAAAGGAACACATATTAATGTTGAAGATTGTAGTATATTTATCTTTTCTAGCAGTCGTAATAAGGGAGAGATGATGTCCCTTCGATACTAGAGAGAAGGCTCGATTTTCATAATTTCTCTAATAATTCTTTAAGAACTCATGTACGATGTCATTCGTTGAAACGACTCTGGTTTGGATCTTTTTCATACCTTCTGTCCCTGAAAAATTATTACTGAGCAAAAGCGTACTGAGAAAGTGAAGAGAAATTCGCACTCACTTATGGTAGTTCTGCAGTCTGTTTATCTTTTTCCACTTCATATCTAGGATGTGCTGCACAATGCAAGCTTGAAGCTGGATTGGCTCTTCCAGATGTCAATAGCATTCGACATCGCAAGAGTAAGTGCCCAGTCACACTTTCTTACAAATCCTGCTTTACTATAATTAATTCAAAACATATTTATTTTAGGAACATTTCTTTGAAGTAGGGTTGAAATAGGGTGTCGCTGCTGATGGTTCTGCTTGACTTCCCGTCACACTTTTATTAGGAATCAGAGAGCTTTTGCAAAAAATAACTAGTGGTGCAGTGCTAAGAAAATAACAAGGGAGGCTCTTGCACAAAATTATGCGAAAAAAAATAAGAAAAGTAGAAATTTGTCAATTTTTGGCATTAACAAGGGGGGGCCTTGCTGAGCCCCCCCTAGCTCTACACCCCTGATATCATCGCAGTAGTAAGTATTGATGTAGCAATGATTTCTATCTTTTCTTTTTCTCAGGGCATGCAGTACATACATGGGTCTGAAATCAAAGTTCACGGCTGCTTAAAATCATCAAATATTTTGATTGACAGCCGGTTAGCTTGCAAAATTACTGACTTTGGATTGGTCAAATTCAAAGCTGGACAAAAACCAACGACTGCTCATGGAACAGACTACCAATTTCGACGTTAGTGAACAATCAATTTTATATCTAGAATTTGATTCATCTGGTTCTGTGTAAATCTAGTAACTTGAAGGCAGTGTCGCTGTACTAATAGTATGCTTCGAATAGGGTGGGGGTAGGGAGTGATTGAGTCCTGACCAAACTAATTTTTGCGATACAGATTTGCTGTAACATTTCTAACCTCATGCTAAATTTTGCTACTATTAGTACACGAGATGCGAGGATGAAATATTTCTTAGCTTTACCATGTATTTTATGAAAACGACTGAATTTTAAAGGAAGCCTCCATACCCAAACATCTCATTTATTCATGCCACAGCTCTGAGCTCTATTTATAGATATCGATAAAGCTATCTTCAGATTTACTAAACACAATCAGATATACATCTCAAAGTAAAGGGCAGATTATGGGACAGCGTATTAAGTCATAACCAGCTTGCTCTCTCTTGTAGACTTCTAGGACGCTCTCCTTGTTTAAGCATATACCATATTTGTACTATGAGCTGACAGCTGTTCTGTAAACAGAAAACTTCTACTATATCCAATAACCAGCATATCATTATATGAATATCATTGTAATTTCAGAGCAATTTTGGACTGCTCCCGAACACCTGCGAGAGCCCAGCCTTGCAATGTCACAGCCTGGAGATGTTTACAGCTATGGAATTATTCTTCAGGAGATTCTACTACGGGACCTTCCGTACAGTATGTTTGAGTTTCTTGCACCCGAAGGTAAAATTTTTTGCATGTTATGTTTAAAATTTCCTAAAAACATAAACCAAGATGGTCTTGCCGCCAAACTGTTTTCTCCAACGCTCACTTTTCTTCTTGCTTCAAATTTTATCCATCTATGCTCGTTCTTCTGTCAGCATTTCTTCGTGTTTTTCAGAAATCGTAGCACGTGTGCGAAACCTGGAATACCCTCCTTTTCGTCCTAAAATCCCCGATGACACTGGGAGGACAATGTTTCAAGAGCTTATGCGCAGCTGCTGGAGTGAAGATGCTACGCAGAGGCCTAGATTTGATGACGTCATGAAGAACCTCAAGAAAATTAACGGGGGAAAGTAAGTAGCTGCAACATCCCTGTTTCGGAGTAGTTTTCTTGTAGGTAGAACACTGTCGGTAACATGACAGATTTTTTTGTTTTAAACTTCATCAGAAGCTGTTTCTATCAGCTTTTGTAATAGATTATCATTCATATTTTTGTAATAGATTTTCAAACCAAGAGAAGTGTGCGGTTCTTTATTCATCATACATTGATCCAGGGATTTTTATCAATAGATATTCCAGTTATTTGTACTGTATTGGAAAATTTCTAGATTTCCGCACATTCAATCTTAACTTGCAATTATCCCAAGCAAAATCATTGAAAACTAAGTACAAAATTCGCTGATGTACAAATGAAGCTTTACCAGTAGATTTGATAAAAATTTTCTTTCAAACATTCCATATACGTTTTTATATGGAGCCAATTTCTGCAAATTCTTAAGAGTATGAGTGAATTCAATGACTATGTCGTCCACAAGGCTCTGCCTTAATTACCTTGCTGTTGAATTTTTTTTCACACCCTAAGATAATGAAAACTTCAATCTATGGTGAGTATATTTTTAATAGGAACATAAACATGGTCGACAACATGATAAGCATGATGGAGAAATATACAGATAACCTCGAGGAACTGGTCGCTGAAAGAACCAAGCAACTAGAAGATGAGAAACAGAAGACAGATGAGCTTCTTTACAGCATGCTCCCTAGGTAGGAAGACTCTTACTTAATCCTAAAAAAGCCATCATAACTCCTTATGAGCAATGTGGAATCTTCGATATCCTTATCTGTCTATGCGTTTTTAATCTCTGGAGTACATCGATAAAATGGCATATTTCTTGTAGATAGCTTTAATCGACCAAAAAGAATACACGTTCACACATAAAGGCAATTGGACTTATTAAACCCCGTGGTTGGCCTCTCGATATAACCTGAAATTTTTGTAAGAAAAAGCTGTTTCTAAGACGGAATATTTTGAAACAAAATCTGAGAAATATTGCTGTGTGAGAAGCTTATTAAAAGGCATGTCTTATAACGGAAAACCTCTTATCCTAGACCGGTTGCAGATGTTCTCAAACGAGGAGAGCGTGTCACAGCTGAGAGTTTTGATATGGTCACAATCTTCTTCAGTGATATTGTCGGGTTTACCAAAATGGCAGCTGAAAGCAGTCCTCTAGAGGTAGCAGACTTCATCTTTCTGTAACGTCGCATTTCGAATTTTCTTCTTGTAATTCTTTCATTCATTGTCGAGTCAAAATGTTATTGCTTGAAACCCATCCAGTGCATTGTTTTTCCTCAATTCAAGCTTGCTGTGCGGCAAGGCTCACAGCAGAGTCTTTTCTTACTTATTTTTTGGCTATTTTTCTTCTACAATGCTTTTAATCCAAAATACAGAAATGGCTTTAATAATCATATGAAATAATTTTTCATGTGTCAAGTGATTAATGTATTTGTTGATTATTTGTTGTTTGAAGTCTTTTGAAGCATTCCCAGCCAATTAATAAACATGTCATCTTATTCAAGGTGGTGGATTTTCTTAACGACCTGTATACATGCTTTGATAACATTGTTGAGTGCCATGACGTTTATAAGGTAAGTGATTGCCCTTTAACGGAGTACGATCTCTTTGCTTTATAGAAAACTAATAGTAAATGAACGAAAATTTCAGTTTCAAAACATGCTGTAACCTGCATCGTGATAGCTTGCTCCAAATAGAGCAATTAAAGGGATTTAAAACCAAGATATGGGCATTCAAACCAGGCAGTCATACCTATATACCATAGCCATTCAAAAACATTGAGTTGGTTTACAATTTGCATTTCCAATATAATTAAATGTGTTACAGTACAATTTTGGTACTTGGAGAAGCAGAGACTGCAGGCTAAGATAAGAGAGACCAGTTGGATGTTTGATTGAGTTTTTAAATGTTTTAAACTGGCCATCTAGGTAGAGACAATTGGTGATGCGTACATGGTTGTATCAGGACTGCCGAATCGAATTGGCAACAAGCACGCGGGTGAAATAGCCAAAATGTCACTTGATCTGTTAAGTGCAATGACAAACTTCAAAGTAAGGCATAAACCAGATATTCAGCTGCAGCTCCGGATAGGCATTCACTCGGGTTAGTATTTGTATTTGAGCGGTCATTATATTGCAATTTCTCTACCTTTAATCGAATTTCACCACATGTGTACGCAAGGTATTGATAACCAGGGAGAGGGGGCTTAAAACTCCTTAACGGTCTACATAGATGATTTCGTCATTTGAACGCATAAGAAATACTGTATGCATGCTTGCTGTTTGCTCAATAGAAAATTGTGCAGGAATGTAAGATTTCCACTGGTCTTGTCTTCTTTTGCTTTACCACAATTGGCGATGCAGGTCTCCCTGATGAAAATCAAGACCAAATTGTATCTCTCGCACACATACTAAAAACATCTAATCTGTCTTTCTCTCTGGAACATTTTGCATACAAAGTAATTTCTTTGAGTACAACCATACCATTCATTGTTCAAAAAACATGATGCATTTATGCGATTTTACAACCTTATTTGCAGGTCCTTGCGTCGCTGGCGTTGTTGGTATGAAAATGCCTAGATATTGTTTATTCGGAGACACAGTGAATTTTGCATCAAGAATGGAATCTAGCGGTTTGGGTAGGTTATTACATAGCGATCTATAGCTTTGAGAAGCTTAAGTATGCTCTAAAATGTCTGCTTTTTTCAAAGTCATTTACAAAAAGATTGTATCGTTGAATGTAGTTTTTTTCAAGCAGATCTTAATTATACAGACTGAAAGTCATGGAAATAACACCTTAGCTTAAGCTACGTCTATTAATAAGTACTATACTTTCAACCAAATGACTATTTAAGATGAACAAGCTAAATCTTCAAGGTTTAAATCTTTCGATTGGCAAAGCATATTGTTTTCTTTGCAGCTTTAAGAATCCATGTGAGTCCGTATTGTCGCGATGTTCTGCTGCAACTTGGTGGCTATCATTTGGTTGAAAGAGGACCCGTCTCCATGAAGGTACTTCTTTGTTTTATAACAGGACATAAAAACATGTGGTGCACAATACGTGGAATCATGATAGCTAGGGTGATACCTTCAATACAAAACCTTAGCGCGATTGTATGCGGGGTTTGGGGGCATACTGGGGGCGCCAATACGTCATTACGGCCGGGTGATCAGGTAAATCAGCTTTATTGGCCCTAACAAACAATGTAGTCCCTTGGCCAAAATTTTACGTAACTTTTTGACATTTTTCACGCAATCATTAAGAGATTTCTTCTTCTGTCAATATCGTTCTTTGATGGAGTATAAGTACATCTGAAACAATGCCACAGATTTGAGAACAAAAATTTTCAGAAAATTGGAAAAATTATTAACTCCTGGATAATGCACATTTCAGTTGTAATTTACAAGAAATATCCATGACTTGACGTATCTCAAAATCCCGGACGATTCTAAAATCCCGGACGCAATTGGCAGTTCTTGAAAAGAGGACATGTCCGAAAAAAGAGGACCTGGTCACCCTATAATAGCGAGGTTTCAGTTTCCAATAATAAACTATGATAGATAGTTGCTACAGAGTTAAAATTATCGTTCCAGTCAACTCTTCTCAAAGTCTCATGTAGAAAGCTCACTAAATATTTGCTCCATTAATGGGATTTACGACCTCTTACAACGCATGTGTTCTGTAATTCGCTTCTTTGCAAGACAGGAGGGAAAATGTTGCTAAAGCAGGCCTGTCGGAGCCCCCCCCCCCCCCCCAATAATTGTCAAACTGTAGTATGTTTCCTTTATAACAGTGTACTGAATAAGAAGGAAAACAATGGGCAGCCCCCCCAATTTTAGAGTGGTGCGCGGTCCCTGCCTAAAAAAGCTTTTATTTCACATGTTTATGGTTCCCCAAAAGTGTGAATTTCGTTGTTTCAAATGGACACCCCTCTTGTTTTGATTGTTCTCAATTGATTGTCCTGATTGTGATTGTACTAAGCTGCCTGCTAAGTCGATAACTTTCATATTTTTCAGGGAAAAGGAACAATTACGACATATTTTCTTCTTGGTTACCAAGGTTTTGACAAGCCTGTGCCATCGCTAGAAAGAGCAGCTTCTGAGAGTGAACACACGTTCAAGTGAAATGTTCTGACGAAGTGGCTCCTTGTGGAGAATATCTAATACAACTATTTGCTATATACAAAATTTATACACTGTATGTATAATGATTTCGTTCTCTTACAAATGTTTTGCTATGCAATCACCTTTACCAGAAGAAGGAAAGCAAAAATAAAGGGTAGTGTAGCAGGTAATATTCAAACCACAAGACCTAGGCATCCGGAATTACAACTTGAGGCCCTACAAATGCTTAACTAAAGAGAACACTTGTTTTAAAACAACAGGCACTGTGGAGAATGGGGGGCTGGGGGCTATAGCCCCCACTTTTTGTCAAAAATGCAAAAAATTTACCAAGTAATCACCAGTCAAGCCACTTTTTATTCAGTTTCAGCCACCCCCTCTTCACTTTTTTTAGACCTCCCACTTTTCTCAAAGCTCTGCGGTGCCTGAACAAAGCACATTCCCTTTCAATCATTTGCCAAGCATTCTACAACAATGGTCCTTTTTGTGATTTTTCATGATCAATCCCAACATGGCAAAAATTCCCAAATCAGATGGGTTTATTTAAAGATGGACTCTTTAAGGCTTAAGTCAGCAGTTTGTCAGCACTTTTCATGAGATGCATATATACTCAAGAACTTTGGAGCAGGCCATCCAATGAGGCTAAAATTTGATTGTAGGGTGACATCAATTTTCTTACAGCCTTTATATAAAATAAGTATGTACCCTCCTGCAAAAAATGGATCTGCTAAAACAATTATGTTTGGTAAATAAAAACCAGCACCCCGTTGATCCACTTTGGTGCAAGGAGAAAATTTATTGTGACTTACATTTCTAAAAAAAACCCATCTGCAGCACCAAGATATTTGATGACAAAATTTGGTCAAATTATTATTATATTTGATAACATCAATCTCTATTGTGGATGATTTTTTTAAAAATTACAGTAAAATATTCAATTAATGTGTAAAATAAAAGTGTATTTATAAATTTAATGATTTTTTACAGCTCTATTATACAAAGAGAAATAAATATGATAGCTGAATCAGTTTCGTATTTCTTGAGTCACTGCCCTTGAAAATAGAGTAAAATATAGATAAGCTTTATTGATCGCCAAAATTTTAAGCAACAATTTTAAGTAACTACACGCTTCCCACTGGAAAATGACTTTATTATTCATACTTAAAGATCATCATTTCGTTAAGATAATCAAAACTTTCTTTCTACAAAACTCTAAATACAGACAATTCATTCTAAATTGAAAAGCATCCAGAACTTTTGACACGAGAGAGAGAGAGAGAGAGAGAGAGAGAGAGAGAGAGAGAGAGAGAGAGAGAGAGAGAGAGAGAGAGAGAGAGAGAGAGAGATGAGATTTATTGTCTGCGATTTTTGGCCATTCAACCTTCCAACAAACAATGACACTAGGGAAAATTCAGGCTTTGGGGCGCTGATCGGAAAAAGTGAGAACAGACAATTCTAAGAGTTTGAATGCAAAAGACATAATATGTTTGTTGGGTTGCATAGCTCTTTGACAAGAACTTTTATAACTAACAGGGCACTTAAAGAGCATAAAATTGAAAAAGGGACATAAAAATCTCAAAATATGGCTTATGCCAACATCAAGGCGTAAGCTCCTATTCTGCATCTGCATTCATGAAGGTTTTGTGTTTCTATCATTTCAGATCAGAATGAATGAACGGGTGTAGGAAATTTAAATTTCTCAGAAGTAGAAAATACCTAAGAGGTTTGCTTTGTCTGCAATGGTAGGTTTCAGCATATGGTTTAGAAAATTTGAATTCTACATGCAGGAGTACTCACAAGGCATAAGGTTGTGGCTGGTAAAAAAGTATTGGCTGTAACTTTGGAAAATGTCTTGTAAAGGAAGAAATAATGATTCTACTGCATAATAAAAACAGAGAGGATATGTACTGAATTAGCAATTTGAGAAGTTTTATCCTGCTCAACTTTTGTAAAACTATAAAATTAATTTCCATGCTATTCTTTGAAACAGTGTGTTTAAATGCACTTAAAAACTAACTCAATGTACTGGAAGTTATGTTTTGATTATCAGATCCAGAGTTGTCTTCAACATTGCTTTTTGGTGACACAATACATTTTGCATGAGTCAAAAGATGTCTTTTCAAATGGTGCTTCATTATGAAGCCCTTGAAACACAAGTGACAAGAGAATGGCCGCTCTCCTGTGTGTGTTCTCATATGGTTCTTCAAATTCCATTCTCGTGTGAAAGTATGTGAACATAATTCACATTTGAAAGGTCTGAATGTACTATTCTCACCTAAAATGTATGAAGGAAGTGCAATATTATTGGCTCTGTTGTCATCTTGTTGTGGTTTTGTGTCTCCTGAAATCAATGGAACTATTATGTTTCCACTGGTCATTTTTTTAGGTAGAATTTTCACATGTTTAATTCTGCCAAAGGTTCCATTCAATGCAGACTTTATTTCATTTTGCTGTTCTACAACTGAGGCATCTTGTCTAACAGCTTTGTCATATAGTTTGTCAAAAACTCTACCATTATTTCTAATTCCATTTTTATTATTTTGTACTTTTCCCTCTGTGTCAACTATTCCATGTACCATTGTTGGTCTCTCAAACTCTATCCGTTGAACATCTTTTTGTTGATCAAACCTTTCTCCTTTCTTCCGAAAAATATCTTGCATGGTACCTCTAAAAGGAACAGAAGTTATAGAATAAAGTTCTCTTTCTGACGATCCACTATTTTTTCCAACAGTCACATTTATGTCAGATTCTTTTGAAATTATATCAAGACTAGAAGACGGACATGTGGGAAGCCGATCTTCCACATTAGCAAACACCTGTTCTCTTAAAATCTTGTTATCCATCAATGTTTTATTTACTGGTACAATCTTATCTTGTATTAGAACAGTTTTATTTCCAGTTGCCTGTTTGCTATATTTTGAAACACAAATGCTCTCTTGTGCATTAGCTGCAAATTCCTCTTCAATGAAATCTTCAGTTGTACCTTTACAAATCTTTTTTGGCGAGTCTAGCTTTAACTCGTCTGCATTCTTAACCATACCTCTGCCAATCTGTGAGGCAGTAGCACTCTCATTTTCTAAATCTATATGCTTACTAAACCCTGTTCCTTTTCTGTCATGAATCTGGGTGTTTCCAATTTCATTTTTGTCTTCTTGTAATGAATATGTTGAAACAATTCTGAAACCTGTATCATTACCATTATTGATTGAATTTCCGCAAGTTCTAAGACTTTTTGGCCCAACTTCTGCGCATCCTTGTTTTTGTGGTTGGCTCAGACTTTGATTCACTGATTTCATGCTCTGACAGTTACAACAGAAAGACTTCTGCCCAAACCGAAAATTATCTTTACTGCTATGGGTCCTTGCAGAATAATTTGCAAATTTGCTTACATCGATAATACTACCAACGACTGGAGAATCATCTTCTACATCTCTATGGACCAACTGATGATCAAACAACAGCTTCTCTGTTACAAACATTGCCTGACAGAAGTTACAACCAAACAGAAGTGCAACTGATTTATCACAACTTGAAAATTTTGTAGCAGAGCTATGGGAATCTACCCTTCCCTTTTGTATACTGGAGCAAGGTGAGGTATGGCCTGAAGATCCACTGTCTGTTTTGTGATTAAATTCATTATAACCCATCTCTAGCATTGTTATTTCATTATCATCACAATTGCATCCAATATTATACTTCCCAATTTCTTGGCCAGTTTTATCAATATCTTCAATAGATTTTCTTGCGCTGCACTTTGTTTTAACATCATCATGTATAATTCTTATTTTGTCTAATTTGTTACCATCATTTTCATCAGGGGTTATGACAGAAATACTTTCACCATCAGATTTTGGCTTGACTGTGTTTATTGTAATTTTCGCTTTGGAAATTGTCCTTGAATGATCCAATGTATGAACTTCCCCTATAACATCATGAGACAAAAATTCAAAAAGAGTTTGTAAGCTGAATAGCCACCAGTTCCAAACACCTAAGTTGAGAAACTACTAGAGAGCCTTAAAAATCTAATATATTTGAACACAAACACAAAAAACCTAAGAGCAGAAGACTAGCAATACACGATTCTAATGAACATAGACATGATACATTATTTAACATTTTATGGTTTATGAGCATGTGACACTATATTGACTATCTGATAAAAGTTTGTAATTAAAAAATTACATACTAAAACTCTGCCTTGTGAATATTTTGAAGTTTCTATCTTTGTTTACATACATGTTTCCTTGAATTCAAATGCAAGAAAAAAAACAAGAAAAAATGACATGGAGCCCACACTTGTACGCAAGCTGGAGTGGATGATGGTGCCAATTAATTCATTTTTATCCTTTTAGTTGTATTCCTTTTCAATGAAAGTTAGTTAGCTAACACTTACCTGGCCTAAAAACTTTGCTATTGTCCAATTTTCTTTTCCCTTTGCGATGGAACGGTACATTTATAATAGAACTTTTTGACTTTTCAGTATCTGCTTGATTATGCAATCTCGGTTTATGCAGCTTCCTGTGAGCTATGTAGTTTGAGTATTTCCTGAACCTTCGATCACAGTGACTTAGGCCACAATTATACAACTCTTCATTCGAGCTGTCAGAGTGCAATCTTTGATGAATGGTGGCGCAAAATGAAGAGCTAAAACTTTTACTACACTTCTTGCATTTGATCATTGTTACATGTATATTTATAAATATAAATATGTCAGTTGTCCTTGATGTAAACAAGTCAGTGTCAAATGGTTTATGAGGTCAAGTTTCCGACAATAGGCCTCGGTTTCAAGAAGACCTTATGACGTAGCCTCTAGACAATCGAGGAGGGTGGAGTCACTGTTGGGTTGGGTGTTTCTGCTCCGTTCAATGTTTTTTGCACTAATCTAATCTAATGTTTTTGCAAGTAATTTTGCAACTGATTTATGTCCTCACCCGCTGGCAACGCCCCTTGCACTACAATACACTAATCTAAGCCTTTATACAGTTATAAAATAGCTTAAAGATAAATATTTTAAGAAACTAATTTTAGTTGTCAGTGAAGTCATCCAAAGCCTTCGAAGATAGCAATTGTCAGTGAAGTCAGCCAAAGCCTTCGAAGATAGTAACTGAATAGGAAGCAAAATATCTAGCAGATTGCTTTCTTAAAAATCTGAAGCAATTACTACACCCAGAGGAGGACCATCTCCCCTGCACTTTCATCATGATGCTTTCAAACCTTTTTCTCTACTCTCTTTTTATAAGAATACATCAAGTTTTTTCCAGCCTCAATATCCTTGAAAAACTTTCGTCATGAGCTTGAATATATTCTTAAAGTATTCTCACTTTTTCAAATATCTGGTTGAAAAGTAACATCGCCCGCTTTAAAAAAGACCAAGCTTTTGGTAAAAAAAGATATGTTAGTTCTGTGATTCCCCGTTGTGTTGTAAACATCGCGAAAAGGCGACTGCTAAAAAATCAGAAACAAATATGCGAGCTGAGCTGAGGCTAAACAATATTCCTAGAGATTGGATAATTCTTGGTCTGAATATTCACATAAACAATATTCTTACAAAAAAGAATGAAAATGGGCTCAGTGTAGTTGCCCCTCCCTCAACGACTTGAAGCAAGTCTGGCGCCCCTTTTCCTGGAAATTATGCGCCTTTTTTACAAAATGCGAATCAGGTGAAAAGGTTTCTGAGACTTTTAGGCTAATTTTCTTCAAGGATTACCTCAAAGCATACAACAATTATTGTAAAAATTCCCTTATAAAGTGAATGGAGAGCCTTCTGTCAGTAGTTAGGGACTGAAATTGTTGTATACAGCGTATACTCGTCACCAATTTCTGAAAATGTTTCACCGCCCCCACTACCAACTGTCCCTTCTTCAAATTTGCTCTGGATCCGCCCTTGAATGGGCTCGTAAATCCGCAAGTGGGCACTTCTCTTCGAAGTTCAAGCGCAACCCCTTTTGGCTGCTCAGAAAATACGATTATAGTTGGAAAGCAATCAGTGACAAAACTAGTCTATATCACAATGGATGTATTTGTGAAAATGAAACAAATTTCAACAACAGGGAAAGGGCGTGAACAAAGGAGGAGGAAACACGCCCTTTGTTTGTCATTTACTTTGCCTCGATTCCATTGGTTGTAGCCTCGGTGAAAGAGTTGTTGATTTTGACAACCGCGTGAGAAGTCAGCGTTTGTTTGTCAAGTAATACCAGAGAAAACAAGAGAAGTTGGCTAAATAATCGTGGATTGCTTATAAATATTATCGGTTTTAGCGGTGAAATCGCAATGGCATCAAAAGTAAACTTCAAGATGCCCAACAAAGTGAAAGTAAGTTGACATTAATGATACTAGTAGCTTTTCATCCGGTAAGGGCCTTGACATTCTCAACTTCCTGGTGTCGCTTTGAGGTGCTAAAATGCGAGGGAAGTATTTGCTAAAACTTCACCTCGTTTTGTGTAGAGATATTTTCTTATGTAGTTTAGGAATAGATTTATTATTTATTCTTGGACAAGAAAGAGATAAAATTTTGTTTGACAATTTGATAGTGAAAATCGCCATGAATAAACAAATAAGACACTACGAAGTGATCTGATGAAATGGGTTTATGCTTGAATCCTTTTTTACAAAATGGAACTTTAGATGCTTGTTTGTTGATACTTTGGCAAAAATTTCCTAACGTCTTATCGAAAACCCCTGAAATTGTTTTCAGAATTTTTCCGTGCAGTAGGACGTATAGATTTATTAGGGGCATCACAACCCTCACAGTTTGAAAATAATAGAATCATTCTCAGAACAAATTTGTTTTTTTATTTTCAGGGGACTCTAATCCATTCCCAGAAATAGCTGATAATGCCCAGCAGTTTTTTATTTGTTGATTTCTTCTGTCATACAAAAATATTTTCATTCATAATGAGTTGTTTTGTAGACGTTTAAACCAAAGAAGAAATGGTCTGAAGGAACAATGAAGTACGATCTCCACAAAAGAGCAAGGGTTTGTGAAATTTTTCAGATTTGAAACTTGATATTAAATGCATAATTATCATCCAATTATCATAATTATCATAAAGATCATCACCCAGTGTGCAGGGTATGCTGAAATTGCCCACTCGAGATACAAACATGGTAACCCTGAGGGTGCATCTAAAGGCTAGATCTACAGTAGAATCCTGTTATAACATACTCGATCATTACGTACTTTCGGATATAACATACTGGTGTGCTTGTTCCCGGCAAAAGGTGTGCTTGGTTTTAGTCAATTTTTACTTACCCTTGTTACAATGTACTTCGGATATAACACGCTTAATACATAGGTCCCTTAAAGTATGTTATAACCGGATTATACTTTATAGTTGAAAAGAAAAGTTGATAGTGCTGGCACACCTGCCATCTTTGGATGACTTCTGCCCATCCGCACCCTCAGGTGTAGGGCTGTTGGCATCCAAAAAATCTCTGCAAAATCAGTTATACTTTATATACAAAATTACTTTGTAATTCTGTATGATCATGTCTTTCAAATTTTCATCAAAGATATTTGTCCAGATAATGTGCGAGGATGGCCCTTACCATGTTAATGTGTGAGGATAGCTAACTTGTTAGAGACGTTGACTACCGACCGAAAGGTCCTTGGTTTGAGTCCCTGGCATGACCAAACTTTCACTCAGAGTGAGGAAAGTTACCAGCTCTCTGTAATTCCAGGCATAAGAATCACAAGGTGTGGTCCCATCGAGAAGAAGGACCAGGACACTGCTTTATATACTTAAGCTTCTCAGTGTCAAGAGTGTTTGCATGCAGATAACATGTAGGGGATCTCCTGAGAACTGCCATTTTTTGCAAACATATGAACTTTTACTTCTGAGTCTCTGAGCAGTGTTCTTGACCTTCTCTCCCCTAGACCATGAATCCTATGCCTGTTGTGGTCATTACTGTATTTGACTGTAAATTGCTCAAACCATAGCTTCATTACTTTATTGCTTATATTAGATTTTTGTCATCCAACAGGCAACACTAAGAGCTGGTATTGATTTGAAAGAAGCTGTTAAACTTCCAACTGGGGAAAATTTGAATGACTGGCTGGCAGTTCATGGTATGTGTTGTTGAACAAAATTATTATTCTAAGAAAAAGAAAGTAAGAAAAGTTTACCTATTCTTCAAAAAAACGTCTAGCCCAAAAATAATGTTTCAAGTATATTTGTCTGTTTCATCTCATTTATTATGTTTGTATTCATATGCGCTTTTATGTGTTCTGTGTTTGTTGGTTTTACTACTTCTTGTTTATACTTGATAACATCCTTTAGCCAAGCAACCAGTAATTGATTGATGATCATTGATTAACAAAGAGCAATGGCATAATTTAAAATACTTTGTCCCAAAGGTTAAATGTTTTGTGTCTGAACCTATTTTAATAAATTTAGGTAAAGTATACTTTTCTCAAACCTTTATCTATTGTATGAGAAACAGAAATTTATTAAATTGGATTTTAGACATTAAAATTTGTGTTGTACATTATTCAATACATGATCATAAAATAACTTCTTCTACACTTGTTTTTAATTTGCCTTTCTGCTGTTCAAAAATCCTGACTTATGTGTGTTTCTTTTTCCACAGTTGTTGATTTTTTCAATAGAATTAATCTCATTTATGGAACAATATACGATTATTGTACAGACCAGTCCTGTCCTGTTATGTCTGGAGGACCAAAGTAATTAAGCTTAATATAATTCATTATTGTTTTCTCTCTCTCTGAAACTGTCTTGTCATGTTTATGCCAGCAACCATTTTCATGAACATGAGCAAATAGGCACTGTTGTTTACTACTGATCCTATCTGCAATCATTTACTTTTTTGAGACAACAGATCTATTGACCGATAATTTAGTGGCTTAAGCCATTTGTCAATCAGTTTTAGCCAATCTATAAGCCTATAAGTGGTGTCATGCTGCTCACTAATTGGCCAAATGTGGATTAAGAGATGTTTAGGCTAATTAAGTATTTGTTGATTACCCAGAAACTGCTTATATGCATTTTAGAAATCCTAAATACTTATATTTTGCTTATCATTGAAAATGACAAAGGAGCAAAGCATGCATATCAGAGCTGAATCCAATAATGTTATGTCTTACTGCCAGTGCTCGTATTTGACTGTTTATAACTATTTATCAAACTCATGAAGCAAAGACATCATATGATGAAATTTAGAAATTTAGATTGTTTAACAGTTTGATAATTTTGTTATAATTCCACTTGAAACTGAATTCTTAAGGAAGTTGCAAAGAAGAGCTTTGAAACCAAAAGATCTGAGGAATATAACAATTTTCTACTTCTAGTTTTTTAGAAATAGTGCCCTCTCTGCTCCAAATTTTGTCAAGCAATGCAGATATGCTTTACAGCATCTGCTAGAGCTATGGTCTGAATTTTTCTTTTACAAGTTGTATGAAATTTCACTTTAAGGTATGATTATTATTGGGCTGATGGAGACAAATACAAAAAACCAACTTCTGTAACTGCTCGTCAGTATGTACAGTTATTGATGGATTGGACTGATGGTATTATCAATGATGAAGAGATCTTCCCTCATGACACCAGTAAGTAGATTTGTTTTGGTGCCCTCAGATTTGTTTTGGTGGGCATTCAGATTTTTGCAAACATTTCATGGCTTTTCTCTAAGTAAACAGTATTGCCTGATGCCTGTGGTAGTATGCAGTTCTGTCAACTGATGGCTAATTATTTTGTCCTACATCAGGGGATCTTTCAATGTACAATCTGCTTGGAAGTTTCCCCACCAGGTCCTCAAATTTCCCTACCAGTTAGCCCATGACTACCCTCTTGCAAGTGCCCTTTTGTTGAAAATTGTTTTAAAAGCTGTTACTACTTGTTATGTTGTTGTCGTTTTATGTATGTGTCAAATTATGAAAGTTACTTCTTTTGTCTCATTGTAAATGTAAATGGCTGACTCTGTTTGGTTTTCTTGCACTACACAAAAGCGAGGTATGAAATTCGCGGGGAAATTCTACTACAAATGCTTTGACGGGTTTTCTTGCGCCATTTTCTGCAAACATGCAAAGATCTGAATACCTTTCATTTCATTGCGCTTGTTTTATGCAACTTTTCGCTGCATCAATGCTTACTCCCATTCAAATAGACTCTCAGAAAATAATACAAAACTCAGAAAAAAAAGAGTGGCAAATGGGCAAGCCATGTAGCAAAAAAGACACACATAAAGTGGACAGAGAAGATACCAATTTCAATAAAGAGGGTGCAAAAGGCTTAAAAAGGGGCGAAAAGATGATCTGCAGAACATCGCATATATCACTAGGATGAGATACATGAAGTGTAACACAAACAGTCAAATATTCAATGCAGAGATGTCTCAAAAAGCACATAATGGGATATTTTCTGAAAGTGCCAAAGAAACACTGTTGTTGTTATTTACTTTTGCGTTATGCTTCCTAAGAATTTGCAATCACACCACTTGGAGTAATGACTGATGTGCAAGACCGTGAAGCCTTACAGACTATACATACTCCTCCTGTTGCTTTTGTTTTTACCGTGAGATGTGTCACGTTAAGAAAAGTGCCCTTTTATGTCAATTCCCCACCAGTGAAAATTTCTTAAAAAGATCCTGTCCTACATACCAAGCGAAGTTTCACTTCTGATTAAAACTCATAGACTACTAAACTTTTGATTCAGTAGAATGTAATTCTTTTGATTAAAAAGGCAATTTATGTGGTTGTTTCAATTTGACTCACAAATTTTGCTGAAAAACTGCTAAACAGCTCGAAATGATATCCTCTTGGTAGCCATATTCTATAAGAATCCCCTTAATTTTTCAAGCACAGGATCCAATTTAGTGTTGGACAAGCATTAGTGCTCTGTAAGCTAAGGTTTCCATTAGACCATTTCCCCTTTTTTGGGCCAATGCAATTCCAACGAATGTATTGCTGTGAAAAATTTTGGTTTTCTTTTATTATTGGTAAGAAACCCAACTATTTCTTGGCACATAAACGTTACAAAAAGTCAATGGTTCTTTTGGTCCTTATCAATGGTGATTCTAAGAGCTGGATGCAACAAATTCAGTTTGTTTTGGAAACAGTCACACTGCAACTAAAAGTGACAATAGTGTCATCAACATAACGAAATTAGGCAGCTAGTTCAAGTCTGTTTTCGTGGAAGCCATCTGCATTATTCAATGAGAACTACCCATAGAAAAACCCCAGCTATTTGTCAGATCCTTTTAACATTGGAAGTAAAATATTTAAACCTTTTCTCCGTGATAGGCGGGTGATGGTTGTACCTAATCAAACACACCCAGGGGCGCCTACACAAGGGGGGCAGAGGGGGCAAGAAGTGCCCTGAAATATGATGACTACTTTGACTACTCTCGTTATGTTAATATATATTAGAAAATAATAGAAAGATGATAACACCAGCACAAAAAATGCAGAGAATGAAAAGTTTGTCTGTGACAAGGTCGGCCAGAAGAGAGAGAGCGGCAAAGATAATAAATGATAAATAAAAGATGTGTACCCTCAGAAGTACCCCAGGAACCTAAGGAGGATAAATCGGTATAAAAACTTTGCGGACAATCAAAATTTTACAACCAGCCCATTTATAACAGCCATGATTTTTATTAAAACCAAATATTGTGAATAGTGAGTGACAAGGCCATTTAATAACCATTTTCATTTATGGGTAATTTTGTCAACATTTTCTTTATGTTTAAAATCTTTGATGGTTAAAAAACCCAGCTGTATGGGTGGCACATATTCAAGTTCATATTTTATTATGTTACCCCACCCTCGCCCCTCTCCCACCTAGGAATGCTCGATTATGTTAATAGAAAAATTCAACGATTTACCTTAGGAACCAACACTGACCCTCCTGCCCTAATCTTGTGCAGGCGTCCCTGAACACACCATTATTTCTCTTATGGTGCACATCTACAATGCCTGCCATTAGTACTTCACCAGGCAATTTGCACTGCATTTTGTTAATTTTATTCTTCTCTGAAAAAATTCTACTTTCGCCCCCTTCTCCTGGGAACAATGTTAACAGTCTAGACAAATAACATAAAAGAATCGCAAAAGAAGGTACTTCCTAATTCCCTAAACCATTTTGTAGTAAACCAACATTGTTCCGTAGGGGAGAAGAGACGGGTGGCTGAATCTGTCCTTGCAAACTGACGAACTGACGTCAGTGTTCCATATAAATTCCTCCTTACCTCTAGTCGGATTCTTGATCAAAATTAGAATGAAATTTTATAGTGCTGTAAAGTATGTATTATTGAATTTCATAGAGCTTATCGTTACATAGGGTAGCCGCCGTTCACTCGTTCAACACATTAAAGAATGCTTTCAACATTTACAAGTATCAAATCATCATCCCATTTTATCATTTTGATTTATCACCTGTTAACAATCTGATGTTTTTTCCAGCTGTACCTTTCCCAAAGAATTTCCAGCCAATTGTAAAGAAAATCTTCACAAGACTATTTCGTGTTTTTGTTCATGTTTACATCCACCATTTCGACACTGTTGTAAGACTAGAGGCGGTAAGATTTGTCTTTTTCAAATATTTTTCAAATGTCTCTTCACGGACAGGTTTATTTTTTTTAATGCAGCTTGTTATTCAAATGCAGCTTATGATTCATCCTGGACAAAGAAAAATTCTGAAGTGATTTAGCAATTGGGGCGTACACTTCCTCCACCCATTCCATGATGCCTCTGCATAACATTTTTGCCTTTCTAAGAGAAGACTGCAATTTCCTGTGTGATATTAAGTTTATCAAAGATTTGATAATGACTTATTAAGTGAAGGAAAGTTACAAATTACAAATTATTTCATTTTAGGAGCCGCATGTCAACCAATGCTACAAACATTTTTACTATTTCACTTCGGAATTTGGACTTATAGAAAAGCGTGAGCTGGAACCACTGGTAAGAATGTTCTTATGGTTTCTCATTTAAAGTTTTGTATTGGCTTTTATTCCACAGTGCCTGCCAAAAGTTTTGGAACACCGACAGCTGTTTTCCCTTTCAAAAACTGTTTTGTTATTCTCCATTAAAATACACTATTCGAACCTGAAATTTAGAAACTAGGATGGATGTGGAGTACATTGTCTAGGGGGGGGGGGGGGGCAACTAACCTTTTTATTTTGACGTAAATTAATATTTGATCGAGGATTGACTGAAACAATATTTTCATCACCATATTTGCAAATCTTTTAGTACATACGAATAATTGAATCTAGATATTTCCAAGGGTGTAGCAACCGAATATGACAACACCCACAGAGGGAATTTAATGACATTTGTCCGATGATCCCACCAGCATTGTCACTGACAGGTTAATGATTGGCTTTGGGCCAGCTTTAAGGTCCACTTTTCTTTTTTTTTTTATAATATTTATACAGGTTAAAGGTTCATACATATGTTTTTCAACCTGACCTGTTTAAAAGAATAAAATAAGAGCTAATAACTATGTTAAAATACTAGTAACAAAAGAAATTTACCAATCAAACCTAATTTACAATATCTAATAATACTAAGGCTATAAAAAGTGAACGTAAAGATGAAATAAAAGTTGTCCCCGACTATAGTTGTTCTTTGAAGGTTTTCAGAGAGGGGGCCAATTTGGTAGCCCTTTCTAGATTATTACTTTTATTTTGGCAGTACTGATGAGCCCTTACGTGTAATGAAAACGGTCTACTGGCGTCGATGATCTTCTTGCTCGTACTAATCACTGACAAAGTTCATATTCAAATGACATATTGTAGATAAAACACTATATAATATCTGTTAACCTTACCACTTTTAAATGCATCTGTATAAAAGACCAAATGCCTTACACTTGAAAACGTAACTACTTCTTTGCGACGATTCGCTGTAGTAAAAATCCATGCAAGCTGTTTCTGTTTTTTAACTGCCATGTTTTTAAGACATAAGTATAACAGAGCCCAATTATATTCAATATTTAATCTAATTCTGTTACTTTTTGTCTGGGCACATTTCATAGAAATGCAAATGGTATCATTACTTGGGAAAATATATTTATCCCGTTTCTTTTTAAAAGCTCTTGATGAATAGAACAGAACGTTTCTTAGTAAACGCCTCGAGACGCTTAATGTGATCATCTGGAATTTAATACCGGTCTGTCATTATTGTATCGAGAAATTTGTAACAGATTCGTAAACGGGTATCTTCATTAATCTTCGAGAAATATTCACTCATTAAAAAGCCTTTATATTCCTTTTGTAGAAAGAGATGACAGCAAGAATAGCCACCTAGTGACGTCACGATGAAGAGTCAGTCATTCCGTTTGATGACATGTATCCCAGCATTCAAGGCTTTCTAGCATTCAAAGCAGTATAACGTTGACTTTGGTCATCAAGTCGATTTTTATCATCAGGATTTTTATTGATTAACTGCTTAAACTTTAAAAATGTAAGCAAAATTTACCTATTAAGTAATCCGAAATTGGTTTTACTTGAATTCAAGTTTCGTGCAAGAATCGAAATGCCACAAAAATTTTGGAATAGGCTATAAGATAATCTGGTATAGGCCCATAGACAGTTGATACGGATATTGAAAAATGAGCCTTTGAACCTTCGTATATTGCGATTTGTCAGATTGAACACCCGATAAAACTATGAGAACTACATGTCAACAATTTTAAAGTTTGTCTATAATTTTAAAATAAACAGAAATTGTCCTGCCTTGTTGGCATAAAATAAACGATTTGATTTTCTATAACCTTTAACATTCATATTTAGTTTTTAGCACAGTTTTTATAAATTTATTGTTCTTTAAATTTTAATTTCCTTGTGTATAGCAACAATTATCTAGTTATGTAGCCTGGTCACGAGCACAGGCTGGCAGTAATCAAAAACTAAGGGTTGTCATTTTGCTATTAGTAAGAAATGTGTCCAAGGCCTACCTTTTCGTGTTCTGAAAAAGTGTGCCAGATTACCAAAACTACATTACTTGGTGTCAAATGCCTTTAATACAAGAATAAGGGCAGAGTTTTTGATATTTGGAAATCTGACCTTTTTAGCTCTAGGTGCCAAATGTTCAGCCATTACATTTTCCGCTCTTGTTCAGCTAAGGTCAACCAAGGACATAACTACGTTGATTTTACTGTTAACCACCATGCACATTAGTACCAGTGTAGAATATAAAGATGTCAAAAGAGACTAAAATTCTTCAGAAACTTCCACTTATTTTCTTAAATGCTCAAATCAAAATAATAAGCTTCTTTTTACTCATATACCGAACACTTTGCAAACATTAAGTTTCAATTCTATTTTTTGATATTATTGCCCCCCTTTTTGTTGCTCGGAGTTTTGTCTCAATTGTAATTGGATACTTTTCCACGAGGAATTTTTGAATGTAAAAATTTTTGACTTATTCGTATTATTATCTCAAAAATAACTGAATCAAAAAAATATTTGTAATGATGTAATAGCAGCTTAAAATTGTTAATTTAAGGATTTATTTTGGAAACATAAATGGTAGTTTTTTGGGTGACTGCTTATAATAGAAATAGAAAATTAATACATTTTGATGCAAATTTTTTGTTATTCGTTGTTGCAAAATCTTTTAGTGTTGTCTTGAGTCTAAGAAGAGATACGGAACTAAACGCAAACTTAGCTTACCTGTAAATCAGATTTTGCCGCCTTTTCTTTAATGTAGTGTTTCCATTTGTCGTCCAAATTTTCCGTGATTTTCATAAGCACAAAATAGAACGAAGCAAACTAATAGAAAAATCTACGTCACAGAATGTTGATTTTGTCCCCAGGCCTCCATTCGAGATATAATCAAACATCGAGCAAAGCGGAAGTTTGAAAGTGAAAGTTTTCATGCCTTGTTGGAGATTGCATTAAGGAATTTGCTTTCTGGTTTGAGATTTCGTCCAAGGATTAATTATGTTTCTTTAATTATTTGCTAAAAGCAGAAGGCAGAAAGACAAAAATTATGCAGAGGGTGTCACAGTTTAAAGATGTTTTGCTGTTATTTAAAAACATAGCCGGCTTGCATTCATTATCATATTTGGCCTAGAAATATTCACTGGATTTGATTAGCAAAGAGGAGCCCTTTATAGCTGCAACTGTCCAGCGAATTTTAGCTTAAAACCATCGTTGGGACAATCGGCTTTTGCAAAATGGAAGGTTCTAAATCGCGCTTCGGTATACTTGCCCAATTCATTATTCTTGCTTTGATAAGAGGGACCACGCCATTGATGGCCTATTTTGCTGTTTCGAATCTTGACTCCACCGGACTTGTAGTTGCATGGAAGTCAGTTATTAGTTTTATGTTCTTTCTATTTTCTGCGTCCGTGCTCTACTCTGTTAGTGGGGAGTTCAGGCAACATATTACAGAAAACTTCAAGGACAAACACACGTACTGGAAGCTGACGGTTCTAGGAATCATGCAATCTGCAGCACCCTATTTGCTTATTATTTACAGCTTAAAGTATCTGCCACCTACCCTACTTGGTGTTTTCATGGCTGCTACTCCGTGGTTTACGATTCTATTAGAGAGACTGCCATTTGTCAAGGTAGGAACATTTAATTACGGAATTGGACTATTCATTACTTGTCCAGAAGCTTTAGGAACGAAATATACCTTCTTCTGCTGCGTATCGAAAAATGTGCTACTAAGCTTAGTAAGACTTACAATTACAACAAAAAATCATTTAAAATAATTTGAAATAATCAATTTGTTACCAAGGGATGGCTTTTGCAAGAAAACTGAGAACTGAAAATCTACCTAGGCTTGTTCTAGCATAAATCATCATTGTATTAGCAACCCTATTTTCATTTCATACTTGATGAAAGGAGTTGCAAATAGTTGCATAGAATATAAACCTAAAGTGGAAATTTACAGCTCAGAGTTGTACTGTGTGGATGTAGGTAGCTGTGCAAACTACAATTTTTGACACAGTTGTTGAGAGGTAAACACATGCTAGGTTGCATGCATTTGTTGTCAAAAATCTTCCCTCAACTGGTGGATGGCCCAGTACCCTGCAAGGTTGATTTGTAACTAATCCAATTAATGATCTATATGAACAATTCCTGTAAAAAATTTATGTCAAAGTTGCAATTTAGAACCAACCTCCTCAGAACCTTTGATGATAGGGCACAAAGACAAATGCCCCAGGGTGGGGCCCATAATTATTGATTGTCGTTTTCTGGAATCTATCTTTGTTGTCAAGAAAGGGACCTGCAGGTATTCAATTCACCAGGGTCTGCCCTCGCACTGGTCAGCCTCAAATCAGCTATATGCATTCCATGTGTTTTCAGCTCTGTCTGATTGGCATCAAGCACTATAAATAAATATAATGTTAAATTTTACAAATAAATGAATCAAAGCTACCCATCCTGCAATATCTTTTTGATGTGGCACACTTTTTGAACAGCTAGTATTTTATTTTCTCCTATATTCACCTAAAGCCAAGTTATTTTACAATATTGCGGTTTGCATAATTTTTAAATATTTCAAATAACATGTATGTTTTGCTTTGCACAATAGATAAAATCAACAATGAGCAGTTATGTGAAAATTGGTATGATTTTTGGTTTCCCATCAATCATTCTAATCATGAGTCCAATCTTGCACGAATCTCTGGTGAACTGCAGTAAACTTGAAGTATACAAGAACTTTACAAACCAAACCAGTTCTCACAAGAAGTTCCCAGTGATATACGACATTTGCTTGAAGCCAGAAGATCTTTTTTTTGGTACACTAGCGCTTTTTGCTGGATCTTTTCTTTGGGCTGTTTCCTCAGGTGTGTAGACCTTCATGATTACGTCATACATGGATGAAGACCCAGAGAGCTCAGAGGGCAAGCCCTCCTTGTTAATGCTGGGAAGTGAATCTTATTTTGTTTTTGTTTTTTAAAGAATTGTTTTGGGAGGGCCACCTTTTTTTTATAGCATTATACCCCAGCCTGGCCATTTAAAGAGAGCCACAGCTCTTGCTCCCCTTCAGGCTCTCTTCAAATGCTGGAGGGGAGCTACAGATTGCTCTCCTAAATTGCTTTTGAAAAGCAAATTTCTTTTCTTGAAATCAATTTTTTCTTTGTTTAAATTCTTATTTATCTAGAATTAGCTCAACTGGAGATTACTAGGGGAGCTGTTTACTGCTCCCTTGCTAAGAGTATTATGACCAGGCCTGTTATACCTCATGTGTAGTGGCATCTTTATTTTACAGTATTTTATTTTAATTATATTAAGATATATTTTATTTTCCAGTATTTTGGAGGTCACAGAGAGGGGACATTCATTACATATCTTCAAGTATTGGACAGAATTTAGTAGCTGCAACTGTTGCAGCTGTATTTTGGGCTGCCGTTGAAATTGAATATCCAGAGAATTCTGTAAGTTAAGGTCATATTTATTCACAAGATCAGATAGATTTGCTTTCATATTCTGATTCTATATTTAACTATTATTTGTTATCACTCTGCTATAGCATCACTGTGTTTATGATTTAATGGTGATTCTAGAAATCTTATTTATATTTCAGTCCAGCTTGGTGGGGTACAAGACAATATTTGGGGTGATGTTTTTAGGCATTGGTACAGGCTGGCTTGCTACTGTATTGGTTCAGTCATTAGGCAGAAAAATAGGTATGCAACTTGTCAGTTTAATGATCATTAAACTACTTTGCAATATGTAGTTTTCAGCTTCTAGCCAAGAAATTCATTTCATGATATAACTTTTACCAGGGGACTATTATATGCAAAGAAGATAAAAGTGTAAAACCTAGTATAGAAAAACAAGAACTTTTAAGTGTGGAACTGATATTTACTTGCAAGTTTCATCTGTTTCTCAAGTTTCATACTTCAATTTTCTTAATTTATCCACTTCAAATAATTTTTTCATTTAATGGTGGTAGATCTTTGAACTTATTATTGTTCATGTTTAGGGTCTCAGTATACGCTTCTTTTCAGTCCTGCTAAGTTTTCTTGTCAATCTTCTAGGATGTGCACATTTTCAATAATTTACTCAGCCCTTTCTTTCAATTATGGTTTAGAAAACTAACATTTCTCAGAAAGTAAATCTTTATGGCTGTCTGTTTTAATTTTAGGCCCGAAACCAACAAATCAAGTTTTGGCAGTTCTCCCAATGGTTGCTTTTATAGAAGACTGTGTCTTTGTTAAAAGCATTGTAACTGTACATCCATGGCTAATTGCACTAGAGATCATTGGTGAGTTATATACTGTAAAAACCAAACATTTTTTTTATGGTTGTAGGTAGGTACAGTATACTACTTCTCGTTTTCTTAAGGAAAGCTGGCTTTTCTGTAGAATGCATCAAAGATTCGATTTTGTCTGTGTCATTCGCTATTCTATCTCTATGTGCCTTTATTATCGACCGCAACATTGTTTCGGATTGGTCGAGGATTGGCCGATGTTGTGCAAAGCGATGTTAGCATCAGGTTTGTTTAGGGTCCTTGGTTTGAAAAATCGTCCGTTCTAAGTAACAGCTCCGGGTTTACTCTTAATGCGATCATCAGGAAGATTGTTTAGGTATTTAAAAGCGTATACAGGTATGACTATACGAAACTGAGTACTTTATGGCAGACCGGTAAGCAGGGTTTTCTATTTGGTGTCTAGAGTTTGTTACTCTTAGGTTCCGAATAAGCGGGGGTCCTAATAAGCGGGGGAAGGGGTGGGTTGGAAGATTTCTTAAAATTCAATAAGGGGGGGGGGGTCGAAATAAGCAGGGGGTGGAAATTTGGTGTAAAAGAGTACCAAGCAGTGTTAAAGGAAAAATATCCGTAAACATCAAGATGATAGTTTAAAAACAGAACGGAAAAATAATGTCCTACTACTTTTACCAACGCACTCAAGCTCAGTTGTTCACACTTTTTGAAGGGCTCTCCTACAAAAATTGAAAATTTGATAAGCGGGGGGTCCTAATAAGAGCGGGAGGGTCGTAAATTTCTTCGAAAAAGTACGCGGGGGATACTTATTCGGGACCTAAGAGTATATGTTCTAGGAAATTTGAAAATATCGTGATGAAATTAAACAGAACAGTATGAAATTTGCTTTTTCTTCTTTGCATCTTAAAAATCCAATTTATTTTCAAGTAGTCATTTTAGTTTGAATCTTTAAGATAAAGTGGTTAAGGTGTGCAAACTCGCCGTGGGGTAAGTCCTTCTTCGTCTGTGTATTCGGGGTGCTTAAGAACAAACAATATTATTTTTATCAATTTGTAGCTTTTTTAAAAGAAGCGTGAAAGGAAAGTACTGCTAAACCACCCTCAGCATTTGATCTCTCTCTAGGAACCTCTTTGCGCCCCTAATGAGAAACCATGCTTTCGTCTATGGCTTAGGGATTCTTAGTTTTCTGATCTCACACAATGATTTGATTTGCTACTTTTTATATAAGCGTGAAAAAGCAGCCATTAGTTTCCAAGATCGTTTCGCTAGGAAATGTTTTTCAGTACAGGAGCTTTAATGAATAGATTTGAGCTTTTTGTTTGGAAATTTGATAAAGTAATTCCTAGCGATTTTATAAGTAGTATTTATTAGTACTCCGGCCTTTGTGTTGAAAGTTGAAAGTTGCCTTGTGCTTTCAAGATTTAAAAAAGTTAATCCCGGTTGCCTAGTGTTGAAAGTAGTAAGATATTTCCGGATATTGTGCAAGCTCTAAAGGGCAAAGAGTAGACAAAGTTGATTCCTTTTAATCCTTAAAAGTCCTCGAAGAAGAACTTTTTTCATAAATATCGATAGCCGAGACTTTATTGCAATAAATTCAATTAGTTTTCCCGCCAGCAGCTGCTGACGACAGCGAACCTCTGCTCTCAGCAATGTCGCCTCATTGGCTCTCACTAATTATAATGGGCCTACTCTAAGGTCCTTAATAGAAGGGGGGCGCTTATTAATTTTTCGATTTTTTTCTGACCACATCGGAGCCTATTTGGACCCCCCCCCCCCCCGCTTATTAATTTTTATATGCAATCATTCATATCCCTTTTTTCATCCGAAAAAATTTACATAGGCCTGGCTGATGTACACAATAATAATTAGCCTGTTCATTTTAGTAATATAACAATGCATTATTACATGGTGATAATTGTCATTTTCTATCGATTGTATTCAGAAGAAAATCTCATTTGACCCCAAAAAAGAATCACCACGTAATTTTTCAGATTTTTCACATTTCCGACCCCCCCCCCACTTACTAGGACCCCCCACTTACTAGACCCCCCTCCCCGTTATTTATTTTTTGAAAAATTTCTGACCCCCCCCCCCCCCCAACTATCAAGACCCCCCTTCTATTAAGGACCTTAGACCCCCAACTATCAAGACCCCCCTTCTATTAAGGACCTTAGAGTGATTAAAGAAACCTGGCCTCTTTTTTTTCGGATAATCGCAGTACTGTAATTCTTGATAATTAATCTTTATCAGTTTTTAATTTCATTTTCATTTTAACATTTGTATGAAATCCCTTTTGAAAAGCAATGTTTTGAAAACGCTATAAACATTAACGGGGTTCAGAAAGTCAAGCATGATGTATATAAATAAGTTTTATTAGCTTTTCTTTATTGTGATAGTTTTTGCATACAGGTAGCACTTCAATATCAAACTTTTTCAAAAAGGGCGCTTAATCGAGCATTAACGTTTTTTTAGGTTTTAGTAGGTTCAGTTGCAAGCGTTCACTCATTCTATTTTATCGATGGTATGCAGGGTCATATCTTCCTTGAAAATTAAAGCTTTTTGGAGTTTTCAGTCTTTCATTTCTTTATATTTAGGAATCTTGGCGTTATCTGCAGCAGTATTCATGACTAACCTGCCAACCAGTAAAAAGGATGGCCAGACTTCGATGTTATCAGAAAGTCTTCTCAATCCTGATTTCCAATCAGTAAGTGAATCTTTATTTCAACATGGATTCAAGCTGGATTAAGTGAATCTTGTGCTTCTTGTAACAGGGGCTTTTTAAATTGGGCCCATCCAGATTTGAAAAGTAAAATGCATTCGATTATGTTGAGAATGGTAAAGAAAAAATGGCGTGTGGCATGAAGGAATGTGTTTGTGTTGGGTCGGATTCAACCCGGGATGAACCCAGACAAAAATGGGTCGTGTAGTGAGAGATCTGGGTTAGACTTAGATTAAACTGAGATTTGTAAGCACCGTGGTGGATCTAATTTTGTCTGAGAAAATTGATATCACATGTGGTTGGTCTATTCTGCTGTCGATGTTTTATTTGTCTTGCTTTAAATGCAAGCTCTGCCCTAAATTGAACTTTTACAATATACTGAAATGAATTTGTATTTTAGTACGACGGTGATTACAGAAACATGCAAGAGGAAATAGAAAAATACCGGCGTCTAGATGGGGACTCAGAGGAAGATTCTTCTGCTAGGGAGGAGGAAATCACTGTAAGGCCAGCAACAGTGGAGTCAAATGATGATACAGATTACCCGCCCTTGAGGCAAATTGTTGGTGACGACCTTGACAAAACGGCTACATTTGGCAGGGCCTGAAAGGTACCGAGCACTGCTTTTGTTAAGAAACTCTGGAAATTTTGGATGTTGTTTTGTTATAAGGAACAAGCAAGACTATGTTTGAAATTGGGGAAACTCGTATGTTTTTTTAAACTTCTTTTCACATTGATGTAAATTTTGCAGAAATCAGATTTAGACTTATCGTGTTAAAGCCGGATTTTGTAGCCAAACATTGCTTTTTGCATAACTTTAAGCTTTTAGTCTATGTTGAAACCAATCTCAACTAGTACTTTTTCGGTGTTCAATTCTTTTCGGTTAATCTCGAAAAAGGTAATGTTAAATTTATTTTTTTTACTTTATTTGCTTGGAAAGACACGTTGTTTACATTCTCCTATTTCAATGATAGATTGGAAGGGGAAATTTCGAACAGTATAATAAATAATTCAATGCCAATAAATAGTGAGGTTTTGGAAACATTTGGAAGCAACAAACTTCAAGGTCTCAAAGTTTACCAAAATAACTTGTTTGTTTCCCAGTCTAGAATCGAGAAAATGACTTACTTCCTTAATAATAAACTTTTTTCATGAATTGTTTTCAGTAACTAATTTCCTTGTTTTCTTCTCATTATTAACTTAAATTACATCACTTGTTTATCCTACTTTTAATATAACAAAACACTAAGATACTTAAGTACTACTGGATCATTACATTTTCATGCACATTTTTGCTGCGGTACGGCGTAGGGGGATGTGGCACCCAAGCAATTTTATTGCAAAAACAAGGAGTATTTTTTTTGCTATGTAGGGTTTCTTTGTCGGCGGGGGGTGCTGGAGGGGCTGTAGCCCCCTCCATTTTTTGCTGTAGTGTGATTTAAAGGCCTTTGCATCAAAGATGATGGTTTAAAACCACCTCACATTATATTCTAGATGATAATTCATTTCCAGCTTGTGGTTGTTAAAACTCAAGAAAATTTGCGTCCTTTCCAAAAAAATATGTGATAGAGGTGGCAAATTTCCAGTGCCAGATATAGACGGTAAGACGATATACTGAAAAGTAAGTGTAAATGAATGCACAGTATTCAAGTTAAGCGTTTGTGGTCATTTATAGGATGAATCTAAAAATTAAAGTTAAGTGCAGGTTACAGAATCAACAATCATTCTGTCTTTGGAAGATAGCGCCTCATAAAATATTCATTTTAAAACTGGTGCTTAAATTTAGGCTTGGAGTTTATAATAAATGGTTTTCTTTTCCTTTCATTAAATAAAATAACACTATTGGTAGGCTTGGATTCATCGACCAAACAATCAATGTATTTGATATCTAGCAGCCCACCAATTGTCTGACATTTGAATGAACCAGTGACTATCTTTTTCCATAGGACGTTCTTGAAGGGAGGTCGTTTATCGCTTAGGTTTTAGTCAGGGGGGTTTTCATGCCCGCCAATAACTTTCGAAGTATCTTAAAATGCTCATGTTTACATTGGTATATTGAGTTTTTCATTTTTCAAGAAAATAGTAACATGTTATATTATACAAGGCTCCGTTTCATTGATTCCTCGAGTCAAACAGCATTTCTCGGAATCACATAGCTGTATGCCAACATTGAAAGACTATTAGAGAACCATGCAAAGATCGTTGAGAACAGTGGCGGACTTAAGGGGGGCAACTAGGGGCAGTTGCCCCTCCCTCAACGAGTTGAAGCAAGTCTTGCGTCCCTTTTTGGAAATTTTGCGCCCCTTTTGAAGAATGAGAATCAGGTGAAAAAGTTTCTGAGACCGATAGGTTAATTCGCTTCAAGGATTACCTCAAAGCATTATGCTCAAAGTTATGTTGTTTATTCTGAAAATGGATCTGAAATTGCGTACTCTCGCAATTTCAGATCCATTTTACAGCGTACTCTCGTCACAAATTTTTGAAAATTTTTCAGCGCCCCCACTACCGACTGCCCCTCCTTCAAATTTGCTCAGGATCCGCCCCTGGTTGAGAATGGTCACACACTTTCGTTTCAGTCGATACAAGTTTAAGATTGTATAAACATAAGCTGCTTAATTACATGTCATCACCTGATCCTCATTTTTTCTCATGGAAAGCAATTGATTATATCAGTGTTTCGAATGGTATTGCAGAAATTTGAAACGTCATCTCATCACAATTACTGCTTGCACCAAACAGATATTACGTCATTTTGGTCAGTGACTTCGCAACCCCAATTCGAAAACGCAAGTACTTGGGGCAAACCCCCTGCACACGCAAAATACCAGTTGGAAAATGAATTTCGCTCAGTTCAGATATAGCAATATTTTTCAATCGATTATTAATGACTAGGTTTTTTACTTAGCAGGTTGGTGTATCTGTTTTAATTTTGCAAAAGATAAATTTCTAGTGTCCAAGTGCTTGACATACAGAGGTGCAGCGATCCGTCTTTTGTTGTATGAAGCTGCATACCAATTTACAGTAAAGCTTCGTTCTTCGACTATCTGCTTCTTGCAGTATTGCAGTAGGCGAAATATGACGGGTCGAATCCAGCGAATCGACTTAAATTCTAATGCTATTATAAGTGCCAGTTTCAATCCCAGGAATCTTGCAAACAAACCAAAAATTCACTCAGGCCAAAAGTATCAAGGAGTTGGTGCAAAAAGGGTGAGCTTGTTGTGCAATTATCTTTTTCCTAATCTCATCTGCTAAATGTTATCCTTTGCTTTTATCATTTTTTACATAGCTCTTGGCAGAGCCTGTAGTGCCTTATTTTTGCGGAGCTAATTTTTGGTATTCTAATTTTTTTGGTATTTCTGATAGGTGCTTTAGATGTTTTGAGTGACTTTGAAATTGAATTTCTGATGTTTCAACTATTTTTGGCAAGTATTGTACATTGCAAAATGTCCTAGAGCCACTTTGTGGGATCAAATCTTTTCATTCTTTAAATTTTTTTTGGGAGTTCTCTGGTCAATCGATCATTTCTTTGTTGTTGAGAATCCGATTTCGGATAATGCTATCATTATTACTATTCAAGCCAAGACAATCAAAGAACAACGATTTCATAATAATCATCATAATGCCAAAACTTGTGAGAAGTTGTTAGCGTTAAGTGCCTTATCAACCCGCAAGCAATGTCTTTGCACTTATTCAATTCACAGTTTTTCGTATCTCCTAATTGTGTTTTTTATATAAGGAAATCGTTTATACGTCCGTGTTCCGTTTAGATAAAGTATTTTATCAACTCTATCTTTCCTTTTTCAATCTTTAGTTTGACTTTCCTGAGCACGAATTCTCTTGGTCAAATCAGGCTTTTCGATAAGAAAGAATGTTTGAAGCTTTGTTTCATCATTTTTTCCAATTTTAATGAGAAATTCTTACCAGTTTCGTGTTCATCTTGTTATGAACCGCGTTACCAGAAATTTGCAACTATAGTAATAATAATTGATCGTCATAATCAATCAATCAATCAATCAATCATGATTACCATTATAACAACAACAACCACCATTTCCAGCATCATCAATCTCTGGTCGCCACTCCAAACTATAACAAACGCAAAAATAATGATTATAATTACCATTCTTAACCTCACTTTGTTAATGATGACAATAAATAGTTGGTTTTTTTGGGTCTACCTACCTGTTAGACAAAACAGATCATACCAATCAGGTAGGCCAGCTTTTCAAATGATGGTGATAACTCTAACAAAATTGACCGCAACCATAACTAGTATGAATAGCCTCGTCATAACTATTTTCAATTCATTTTCTCGGCGAGCAGCCAATGCACCTGCTTTTTAATCTTTGGAAACTAGCTGGTTTCTGGTGAGTATGACTCAGTCAAGAAGGCGTTTGTGTTTAAGAGGATTTGCTCTTTGCTCTCAAAGTTTTGCTAACACAATCAAGTCGTTTTAATAACAATACTACATTAACTTCATAAGTTTACATATAACAATTAACAATTTAAACTAAAAGAGACTTTTTAAAATCAGATAAAAGTGATTAATAATGATAGAAAATGCAGACGTTAATGACACATTAACTGGAATTTAGACAGCTGCCAAGCAAATATGCTTTTAACCCAGTTGCACAGTAATTTTACAGAAACTCGCCTCAGCATTGTCATGTAGCCTGAAATGGCTGCAGATTACCTTAAAGAAATTGTGTAAAAACTACCCCCCGATGAATAGAGCCTAGGAAGGAAGTGCTCGCTGACCCCCTTTCTGACTTAATGCAAGATAACATCTTTACCCCTCTAAATTCTGTTTTCAATTAGGCCCTTCTAATTTCTATATTTTTTACCATCCAGTGGTCGGCTAAAATATATAACGGTCGTGACTTTCTTGTCAAAAATTTCTTTTGCAAGTTCAAAATCCTTAAACAAGATCACATGTTAAATTGCTGACTATTCACCACCCAAATACAAGTCAACCCATTTTCAGCCATTGCTTGCTCATCCTAAAACCATCTTGGTTTTTGAAGCGGTTTTATATCTTTTTGAGGGCTCATTATAAAAATTGTAATAGGCAAGGTGAATAAACTTGATCTCCAGCATTGCCTTTGCCAGAGCAGGTGAATATGCCAGCATGACTGAATATTTCAATAATTTATACAATCCCTGCTTTGCAAAGCTTTGGATGAATGTAGTCACCGTCAGACCGCATCTACAAGAGGTCCTGTTTTGACAGCTCTTTCTATAGTTCTTTGACTTTGGGGCACAAATTTTCTTGCTGGCCAGACCGCAACAAGGCGTCCTTTTCGTGTATATATTCCATGTGTCATATCATTTGAAAATGTTTTGACATATCTTTATATCAAAGGCTAGATTGTCCTTTACAGCTTTCCTGCTAATTGGGTCAACTATTGTTAATGCGATATTATGGAAACCTACTAAGGCATTTTCTGTCTTTTATGACCTCAAAGTGGCCTAAGAGCAGGGGTGGCGCCAGAAAAGAAATGCTGGGGGGGCTGTTATGTCAGATTGCCGACAGTGAGTGAACCACCCACAAAGATGGAATATAGTACCATTTCCGCTTTGGTAATTCTAGCTCAATAAATGAAAAATAAATTTTAAGAAAATCAAACAATGAAAAAAATAGAAAAATCACGAAGTGGAAGTTATGAAAGTGACGACATTGCTTAAAAGTTTTCAAAAATTGAAGTGCCGACGGGGGAGCTCAATGAATTTTTGGGGAGCTCCTGCCCCCCCCCAGCACCCCCGGTGGCGCCATCCCTGC